TATTTGCATATAGACAACATGGCCGGCCTGGCTGAATTACCCCCGTTTTAGAACTGGGCTAGTCAGAAAACAGCCGAAGACCACCAAACCCTAGTTCTATAAGCCTGCTACGGAGGCTAGCTTCTTGCCCAAATTATTATTTTTCAGGGGAATGTTTTTTCAGCACCAAGGACGGAAATGTTAGCTTTGTCTAACTGCTGCAGTTTGGTGAACTATCGCCAGGGGTCGCTATTGTGTGTTGATTTCCCATCATGCACATGGTCACTATGTACTGTGTGTGTGTCTGTCACGTTTTCCTGTGTTCCTTCCATTTCTCTCTATCCCTTGTGTTTTACCCTAAATCCGTTTAATTTTCCCTTACCCTGATCTCTATTCGTGTGTCCTTGGACGCTGAATGCCTTCCCTTTGCCCTAACTTTCCCTGTGTTTGTCTCCCACAAACGTTTTCTTTCGCCCCCCTCCCCACCCTGTGTGTGTTCTTGTTTACAACATACTATAAGATACACCTGATCTTATCTGATCAGGGGCCCTCGGCCACGCTGCCGAGGGTTCCCCTGAAGTGATAACAACCCTGTGCTGCTAGCAGGGCCCTCGGGCCCGGCGATGGGCAGTTCTAGGCATGGAAGTGATGAGGATTTGAACGGATAGCCGAGGCCTCATTGCACCCCAGGGGAGACCCTGGGAGAGGCCACTGACGTTCAACTCACCTCTGATCCACCTACCCATGCCCCCTCCACAGTATAAGCTACTTAAGTACTAGTGTATTCATTGAACTGAACTCTCCGTGCATTTGTTTCGGCTTATTTTATTTGTACGTGTTTAGGTGTTTTCAGTCTGTTTCTGTACCGTATTATAGTGTTTACTAGCTTTGTCCTCTGTATGAATTATTGATGTATTGACCGCCAAAATGGCAGGTTAACAGATCAGACACAGGAAAAGGGGTCAACTTGAAAGTCACAAAACCCCAAAATACTTCCCAGATCTCCCATTTCCAGTATAGTACCATGAGACCACGTCTAACGATATATTACATGTTAAACATGGACAACAACAACATTTCTGTTTAAGTTATAATGAAATATAACGAATAGTAGAACATCAGTTGAGGTCACACTTTCTGCAGTTTTAATCAGGAAATAGAAAATGCGTACAAAACTGCAACAGCTTCTATCATGGGATCTTCTGCTACAAATACATCTACAGTGCTGTGTACCTAAACCCACATTTAGGTTCAGGTTCGGATTCAAGTCCAGAGGTTTAGGTTCAGGTCCTGACTCGTAAGTCCAGACCTAACCCATGGCATATTATACAAAATTGCATGTTGGCAACCTTGCAATATTGTCTGGGCAAAACTGTGGCCACATAACATGGAGGCCGATACTTGACGATGCCTGATGGCAATGTTTTCTTCATTTTGCAGCACAGATTTTGCAATCTTCGGTGTCTTCGGAAGGTTTTATGTAGTTTGGAAAGAAAAGGGATACATAACGGGTTTTTTTTTTTTGGTGATAAGTCCGGAATCGGTTCTTGACTTTTGATTAAGTTTCTTTGGACTTGAACCTAAACATTTTTTACAAGTCCGGAACCGGTCCAGCGAACCGGTACACAGCACCACATACAGACAATACAGACTGGACACACTAGACATAAAGGGGTACAAATTGCATAATTCACAACAGTATACATGATAGAGACTACTTATACTTTAGTTACAGTTGCAACATACTAGTATCTGACAACCTACCAAATGTAAAAAGTTGCTGACCATATTATAAACATACATTGTGTTTGGCATCATATTCAAGTGTGAGTATATAACTTCATCTACCTTCTAATAATATACAAATAGCTTTCAATTTGCATGTTTTAAATATCTCACAGTCACTTCTACAAATGTTTAATTTTTTTTTTAACTTCTTAACTGACACAACAGTCATTTGCATACAACATTGCAATTTCTTAATTTCTTATATTAAGGACAGGTATTTTTTTTCGAGACAGTCTACAAATTTTTGCCAGTGTTACACTCTCAATGCTATGGCAAACAGCACTTTACTAAAATTTCAATACTTGCCAAGTTACAAAGTTGTCATCCATAAAATCATACTATACATGATGTGCAAGGATGACTGGAAATAATCCCATAGGTTGTTTGCACTCACAATCAGTCACAAATGACTATAAAACATAAGAATTGTCAGCCATATTGGAGGGTTACACTGAGAAGTTGATTGGTAAATTTGAATAATGGTCTATGCAATAACATTTAGCTTGAACGACACACACACTGGCAGAGGCTGATTGGCCATACACCTCTACAAGTAACTCGAGAGAAAACTATTCCCATTCTAAGAACTACCAATAGGAGTGCAGGATTCTCTGTCACTTTGAAAATCTGTCCAATAGGAGCTCAGGATTCTCTGTCACACTGAAAATCTGTCCAATAGGAGCTCAGGATTCTCTGTCACTATGGAAACCAGTCATCACAGCCTCCTCTATGGTAACAGACAGTTCTCAGTTTGACAATGACTCAGTGGCCTAGCACATACACATAAATCAACAGATAAAGATGTTCAGATTTGTCCAGATTTGGAACGAAGGCCTGCATGGGAGGTAGCGATTACGAATGACACAAAATTTTTGCCGCCAATTACGAATGACGTTAAATTTTCAGAGCTGATGACGACTTTACGCTTTGCGTACATTGATTTTTTGGGAGGCTACCTACGGATTATGGAGACTGAAAAGGCCTGATTACGCTTATGAAAAAGGGCAAGCAGGCCCCTTTGGAAAGAGTGCAGATACACTGTCAGTCATGATATAGACATGTTGCATTGCCGTTGTTGTTGAGGATCGAGACAACTACAAGATTTTGCTGTGCGACAGTTTTGCTGTGGTCTATACAGGCTAGCCTGGTTACCAAACCTACACTGAACTATAGCTCCCGAGTCCTACATCCTCTGCAAATTTGCGGAGAGGATGTAGGACTCGGGAGCTATAATAGGTTTCATAACCAGGCTATATACACGCTGGATGGTCGTGCTCACAATTGCACACGTCACAAAATTTCAACTTTAAAATTTTACACATTTCAGTGCCTGTCACACATAAGAAGAGCGATATTATTATAGTACATGCGTTACGACTTACGTTAAATTCACACTTCCACAGAAAACTTTCCAGGTTTCTTACAGGAAATTTGCATATGGGCACCGACGTTTGCATACCATTGAAAAGTCTTCTTTACTCCTAAACTTGTGAAACAAAACATTAATCTACATTTTATCTTTCCATGCAGGCCACACTACTAGCTTATTCAAAGGATCTGCCTTCCATGAAGTTTTGAGTTTCATTAAAAAAAAATTGGCCTAGAAGCAAGCCACACCAAAATGATCTGCCTGCCATAAATGTTAAAAAAAATAAGAAAAAAACTGACCCACATTAATTTTGCTGTCAGCTATTTGTCACCTTTTCTGTAATAAAAAGACATTTTGACAATTTTTTTTATGCAAGCAAAAAGAAATACGAAAATGTACTAATGTTGGCAACATGGAGTGATTTTTGGTATACAGATCAGACACTGAGATAGATTTGAGGTTTCCTACATTCATGAGTCAACATACAATTCATCAACATTAATGCACAAAACTAAAAGAAATTACTGATGGCTCTTCCCATAGGGCCTTGCCAAAAATTCCATATCATGCTACAGACAGTAGCCTGGGTACCATCCTACTTGTATGCCGGGGCTCCCACACTTCCTTCCCTAAGTTTAGGGAAGCAAGTATGGGAGCCCCGGCATACAAGTAGGATGGTACCCAGGCTAACAGACAGAACTTAATGGTCGAAATATGTCATTTTTAACAGCACCAACATCACAACAGATTGAACAAGTCTTATTATAATCATACATACAAGTAATGTTATATATATCATATAATATCAAGGTATTGTATTTTCCAATATTCAACATATGATACTATGGTCAGGTTCATAACATGTATCACACATGAAGACGAAAAGACAAGTTTGGAATGAAGTTGCATTGTTTTCTGTTGACACATTCGCAACATTTCAGTTTATTTCCTGCCATTTTTTTTTACCTCACATCTACTGAGAGTCTCTGCAAAGGTTTCTAAACCTTCAATAACTTCATATAATATGGCATTTTACCCTTGAATGAGTGTGAGCTTGATTGTAAAAGAACGAAATTTCTTTTAGTCTAGGTAACTGCTGGCTTCTCCAACAGGTTTCTGTTGGATGTTTGGTCAACTTTGCAACAGAATTTTGTTGCACATCTTGTCTGACACAACTTTTGGAAACTACAGACTGGATGTCATCCTTGTGCAAGGATAACTTTAAACAATACGCTCTGCAAAAGTGCTATGAGTTAAGTTCCAAATTTTGTGCAGGCCCAGTAGCTTCTACCAGGCTTCAGGAGATGGCTGGAAAGATTAGAAATTGGCCGAATAGAGAGAGATAACATGCCGAGGGAGTAAGTCCGCTATAAGAGTACAGTTTGCTGCACCCATGTTATCTCTCTATTTGGCTAATTTCTACTCTTTCCAGCCACCCCCCAAAGCCTGGTAGAGGCTACAAGTGCAGTGCGTTCTGCTGACGCACTGCACTGACCGCACCCAACAGTTGCTGGGGTGATCAAGCATGTCGGCAGAACGTACTGCACCTGCGGGAAACCCTGATTTTTCGTTGAATGTTTAGTCAACATTGCATCAAAATTTTGCCTGTTGCAGAGGATATCTTTTCCGACATAACATTTGGAAACGACAGATGGGATGTGCACCTTATATGCGCGAATACAACCTTATATGAGACATTCTGCCGAAGTGGTATTCAAAATACACTACGGATTGTGTGCAGGTGCAGTACGATTCAGTATTCTAGCCAGGCCTTTTTAGCACCCTATGATTTTGACCCCCTATGCTATAAGTTTGATCCCTATGCTGTCTTTCAACCACCATAGGGGTGTTTTGGGAGGGAGAACCTTCATAAATCTTGCAAAAAAAATGGAGATATAACTTTAGAATGAAGTTATAGCAAAGGGAAAACCTTAACTTCACAAAATCTGTTCCTCATTAAACAAGAACTAGTGTTCCAGGGGATTATGAGTTTCAAAATATTTCTGCTCAATGCGTGACTTGCGCCACGAAAGTTGCTCATCTGCACCTGACCCCTATGCTTTGAAAAAATCCTGGCTAGAACACTGCGACCTGCCGACGTACTGGGTAATCACACTCGAGATTCGGGTGATCACACTTTATCGGAGGATACGGAGAAGTCCCAGAGCTTGACGGTTTTGTCGTAGGAGCCGGAGACGATCATGTAGTCATTAAACTGCAGACATGTGACGCCGTCGGTGTGGTTCCGCAGGGTGACCAGACGCTTCCCGTCCTCAACACTCCATACCTGGCAGGAGACATTTAAGCATCTCGTAAATAAGTAAATAAACTAGAAAGGTAACATTTCATGGCTCTATCCTGCAACAAAATGTAACCCAACACTGCAGGGCATTACCATGTTACCATGGTTACAGACATCTGGTCCAGGTCATTGACCTTTTGCAAAGGTTAACATAATAATTACACAAACAGGCGTAGTGTGGTGAACAGGCCATGTTAGGTTCCCACTAGGAATGTGTGTGTGCAAGTATAAAAGTTTTTGAAAAGTGACGCCGTCGGTGTGGTTCCTCATTGTGACCAGACGCTTCCCGTCCTCAACACTCCATACCTTGCAAATAAGTAAAGAAATAAATGAAGTACAGCAGAGAGTCATTGTTAGAAAGCTTTAAACAACACTGGACAAAATAGGTATGAATACACCCATATCCAGGCCGTTATTTTGCCGCATCCTATAAGGATACAGGCAAATACCGGCAGATACGGCTCGCATTTGTTACGGATCCGGAATTTCAGATCCCTGAATCCGGACTGTTTTGGATGCGGACAAATGCCTACGGTTAGATGTTCAAGGGTTAAGTGTAACAAGTCATTCAATGTGATATGGCCAGCTGCCGCGACGCATGCCTACCAAGTTAGTGTGTTACGTGGAAGGGCGGTTATACCCCCTAATATAGTATACAGATACAGATATTCCAGTTTTCACCTGGAAGAAATATAGGTGTGTGTGTGTATGTGTAGATGCTTGTGTACAAATACAACAGTTCTTGATAAGGAAAATGGTAACTTCTCGGAAATAACTTACCTTGAGTGTTTTGTCATCTGCTGCGCTGACAATCCTCCAATGGTCTGCCTGCAGACATCTACGTTAGGAAGAACACAAATGAACCAAGAACACTGATCATTTCAATGAGGAATCAAATGCAATTTTACCTGCACTAACCTGCATATACCCTATACATGGACCAGTACAGGTTAGGTGCAGGTAGACATCAGAAATACCTGCACAGCTCCAATTTTACCTACACTAACCTGCATATGCAGGTGGTATTTTGAGCCTGAAATACGTACCTGATAACCCCCGTGTGACCCTCGGATCTGCATCATACTGACCTGATAACCCCCGTGTGACCCTCGGATCTGCAGTGTATTGACCTGATAACCCCCGTGTGACCCTCGGACCCCGTCCAATCAAGCATACTGACAACCCCCGTGTGACCCTCTGATCTGCAGCTTACTAACCTGATAACCCCCGTGTGACCCTCGGACCTGGTCCAGTCTAGCGTACTAACGCACAGCCCCGTCCGCATGTCCCAGAACTTCAGATCGCTGTCGAGCGAGCCGCTCATGATTTTGTCCCCCGTGAAGTTCAGACAGGTCTGATAATCTGTTAACCCCCATGTGACCCTCTAACCGGCAGTGTACTGACCTGATAACCCCCGTGTGACCCTCAGACCTCGTCCAGTCCAGCGTACTGACACACAGTCCAGTCCGCATGTCCCAAAACTTAAGATCGCTGTCGAGCGAGCCGCTCACGATCTTGTCGCCCGTGAAGTTGAGGCAGGTCACCGCGTCCATGTGGCCAATCAGAGTCTTCAGGCACTCTCCCTCGATGTTCCAGATCTGGATAAAGTATCCCACATTATAAACTCAAAAATAACATAATTTCCTTGGTGGTAGTAAATACACACTGTATGTATATTTTGGGCAAGTGAAAAGTTGGTTCAGGCAAGTGGAAATGACCTTGTACTTGCCCAATAGGGCAAACTGAATCCACTTGCCCAATTCTTGTAAACTTGTCCAACCCTGGATCTGAGGGCGATGATGGTCACAGATATACCGAAAAGAGTTTCATCAGGTTAGTAAAGTATAGGATACCGGTACCTAATCTATCCAGTTGCTTGAGTAAAGACACCTTACCTTAATGGTGTTGTCAGCTGATCCAGACACGATCTTGTTGTCGTCAAACTGAACACACAGAACAGCGGCCGTGTGCCCTCTGCAGGGCAGAAAGGATCAGAGTTTTCTCATTAAGCCAGTCACATACAGTGTACAATGACATTTTTCTGACAATTTCACTGTATGTCATAGGTTGAAGAAGAAATGGGTGCAATAATTTGTTGTTTTTTTAAACTGTTGTACCCATCTCTTCTCAAATATATGATGTCAGGGAAAGAGAAGAAAAAGTGACCAAACCAGTGAATGTTTTTGATGATTGTACAAACTTATTTTACCTGAGTGTGTGTTTACAGTGTCCAGTTCGCAGGTTCCAAACCTTCAGCGTCTGGTCATACGAACCACTCACCACACGCTCTTCATCAACCTGAGGTAAACAACAATAACAACAAAAACGTCAGGCAAACAAACAGCAGTTACCATGTAGGTCAACAACATCAATGTGAATCAGACAAATTTATTTAGGGGAGTATCATTTTAGGTAGCTAGGCTGTGGCTTTGTATGTCTGTTGTCCAGAGTAAGTTGACAGTACATGGGTTGGGAAGATTGACAGGCAGAATGAGAAGAGGTCAGGCACAGAAAATGGGGTGAACTTGAAAGTAGGTTGACAGCACATTGGTGGGACATACATGTAGATTGATAGACAAAATGACAGGTGGTCGAAAAGGTCAGGCAAAGGAAATGGGGTCACCCTAACCCAAATACATTGTACTTTCCGGAAGTCTGAAATCTCAGTTTTGAAAGCTGGGTTACCTTGAGGCATCTAACGGTGTCGGAGTGTCCGATCATGGTGACCCTGCAGGCTATGCTTGACCAGCTGCTCTGCATGGACAAGTCCCACACCTGCACGGCGGGATTCGAACCAGGGATCGTTACCACACAGAACTAAATCCTAACAAATCTTTCTCACATCACCTGTCAGTCACAGATATATCTAGTACAATATAGTATATAAATGATAAATTATTGTTTCTGCTCTGTCTTCTACTTCTCTAAACACATGAGGTCAATGACCTGGACCAGGGGTAACAGGGGGTGCCCCAGACACCCTGTGGTATCGGGTTACATCATGTATCATGTGGCAGAGTAGAGTTGGACAGGGTGTTTTATCTTTCATACTGCTTAGCCCAATTGATATCGGATTTCTAGCAGCTGTTTCAGTTTCAGTTTATTTATTTCACCAGCAGTAACACTCAGGTACATAACAACCTGGTCACCATATATATTTATGTGTTTAAGTAAGAATAAACAGAGCTGCAATAGTTTGCTGGCTAGACCATGTGAAGGCAAACTAGTTCACAGTCCCCGAGAACAGACAACACTTAAGCTCCTGTTCTGTATAACAGGAGCTTTCAGACTAATTTGCATCATCTTGTCTTGACTTGTCTGACTTTTGTTCCTTTTTCGACTTCCAAAAATTTGTCTTCACTTTATTTGCATATCAATCAATAGGTTGTGCTTATAAACCTGCATTTCCCCTCTGGTCTCTCAGTCACTGACGAAAGCTAGTGGATACTAGCTGAAACGTCTGACGTTTTCAAAATCATATCCAGTTGCTTGAGTAACTGCTTTTTGGCGTATCGTATTACCTGGATGTCTAACCTTCATCGACGTAGTTCACAGTTTAGTCTACAGTTTGCGTGATGACCGTTACCTTTATTGTCCTGTCCGTAGCGCCGCTGACCAGTGTGTTTCCCTCCAGGTGGAGACATCTGACCGTGCCGGAGTGTCCGGCTAACGTGAGGACTGACCACGGGGTGTTGGTCCTGATGTTCCAAACCTGAAGAGCACAAATATAAACCAATCACCACAGGGCTTGAAATGTTTTATTCTGCATACCTGCCCTGGTACAGGCAACATTGAAGATTACCTGTACCAGACAAATTTTACTGATACCACTCAGCAATTGAAGTATGGATCATACTAAAACTGTTCAGAAACCATTACCATTATTTCTTTTCTGCTTCATATATGGTAACAATCAATGAAACAAATAAAAATCTACATAGTATAATTACATAATACTCATTTTAACAAGCACAATTAGCAGTGGACCACATCTTAATGTTTTAAGGATGGTGTACAACAGTGTACATTTCGGGTAAGCAACAACAGCCAAGATTCGAAATTTTGTGATCCAGAGGTAGGGTCGCTAACTGCTGGGTTACTCACACCTGTCTAAAATTTTTAAACAAAAACAAACCTTGATGGTTTTGTCTGATGATCCGCTGACGATCCTGGTGTCGTCGAACACGACACACGAGATGCCCTGTGTGTGACCCTCAAACGTCTTCACGCTACAGTTCCCCTGAAGCCAGTTTTTCCTCAGGCAGTATCGCTCACCAAACACCTTCTTCCACTGGAGAACAGGAACACAGTTAATTTTTAGATGCTTTATTAAAGAAAACTATAAATACATCTGTTCTGGGTTCAAATCCCTGGCAGGTCCCACTGTTGTGCCCTAATGGGAAAGGCATTTTACACTTTCCTTATACTCAGGTGAAAACAAGTACCCCGCTTCAGTTAGAGAATGATGTTGTCATGGATGGGATGTAAACCAGAGGTCCTGTGTTTGTGAAGAGCCACACATCAAGCACGTTAAAGTCACGTACCACACTTATAAAAAAAAGACCCACCACACTAATGAAAAAGAGTAGGGGACCTTCCTGGTGTGAGTGGTTCAAACCTTACAGTCTGGTCTCAGGTTTGTCATGTCGAAAAGGTGACAGTCACATGTCATGTCAATCTCGATAAATAAAAAATGGCTTCCCAAAATTCAAAGACACACTCACATGAATGGTCCCGTCGGGCAGCATGTGGTTGATCATCTGTTTCTGGGCAGTGGCTCGGCTCATTTGCCAGGTGGGGAGGGTACAGAACCGGCGCCACAGGCAGGGCTCGTTTGCAAGCTCGTACCAGACCCTTGATGTCTGGGACGCTCGTGTCAGGCTCACTGTAACACAACAGGTCGTTATTATGTTATTGCACAACTTGTGACAGGTCATTATTCCGTTATCGCACCACCTCTGACAGAACCGGTGTCACAGACAGGGTTCGTTCGCAAGCTCGTACCAAACCCTTGATGTCTGGGACGCTCGTGTCAGGCTCACTGCAACACAACAGGTCATTATTCTATTATTGACCACTTCTGAGAGAACTGGCGCCACAGGCATGGCTCGATCGCATGCTCGTACTTCACAGAAATTCGAAGGAAAACATTGTTTTTGCTCTGTTTCCTCTTCTTTTTCTTCTTCTTCCCAAACAAATAAAGTTTGGAGGACTTGGACCAGACGTCTGTCACCATGGTAACTGGTGCTGCAGCAGACACCCTGTGGTGTTGGATTACGTTATATAGCAAGTGGCAAGACAGAGTTGGCGGGACTGTAACAATTAGAATTTTCTTTCCTTAAAGACCCAGGGAACAAGTCTTAGACTTTTTAGAGTACTGTAATTCCTGATTTTTTCATAGTACTTTATGTTCACTGTTTTCACTGTCACTTCTGTGCCGTGAACTTATCAGTACAGTTCCGTTAACATGTCCACTTTTCTCAGACCGTGAACTTTTGCTACTGTGAACATTAAGTGAATTACAGTATCTCAACTGAACGAACCTGGGTCCAGGAAGGAGAGGATGTAGATGGAGATGGAAGCCGGTAACCATGCCAACAGGTCCTGACAGTTGTGAGGACACGTCTGGTGCAGGATGGGCTCCATGGCAACAGACAACAGGTGCATCTGGGGCAGGCCACACTGGTCCTGGGGGGGATAAGAATGATACTTTCAATTTTTTTCACAACTTAAGCAATTCAACGATTCAATAATGCTGTTTTTTCTCTTTTCAAGTAAGAGCTTTTTGAAATGATATCATCCATTACACAAAAAAACAGTGATTTTTTTCAAAATCATATCCAGTTGCTTGAGAAACTGTTTTTTGGCATCATATTACCTGGATGTCTAACCTTCACTGACGCATGTCATCATTTATTTATCCACTGCTAAGTCTTAAAATAGTACTTAAAATGCACTGACCAGTATCCTCTTGATGACAATGTTTTTTTGCTGATCGTTGAAGTCTCCAAACCAGTCCATCATCAGCTGTGATACAGAAGTCAATAGAGATGATGTTAAACATTTGGCATTAACATGACCTAATGGTCTATAGACAGCAGTGGTTTAGCAACACTGGTTCCCTTTAAGTTAACAACGATGGAATTAAATGGAAGTGTTACGCATATGTATCACAGTAAGAATTTAGGAGCAATTCTTAGTTTTTGAAGTCAATAGTTTCTCAATAGACGGTTTTCACATTCAACTTTTTGTGGGATTGATCCTTTAATCTGTATTCTTAGGGGTAACTGTTTGGTAATCTTGTATGCGATCGTTACTAACTTTTGTATTCTTATTCTCACCTCCATCCGCTTCTTGAACTCCGGCCCGTCCACCCCCTCCCCTAGCTGCCTCCTGCCCTCCCCCAGGTGGGAGGAGGATGGTACGTCCCAGCCCAGCTTGCCGGACTGGCCCATTCTCGGGGAGGGGGACCTGGACCCCGTCCCGTCCACCCCTCCCGCGCCCAGACAATGGACCGAGTCGGGCGTCCACACACAGCAGCGTCCGTCATTCGAGCGTTTCCGACTGTGACTCTTTTTTCCGACAGAGTTTGCAGCGTCCAGTTGGTCTCCGCGCCGCGGTTTCGGACTGGGCGAGCGCGACGCCGTCCTCTTGTTCGCCCCGACGTGCAGGCAGTGCGGGGTCTGTCCCACCGCGCTGCGCGGGACGTCCCGCGCGGACGGACAGTGCGAGTGCAGCCGGCAGGAGAAGCTGGCCCGGTACTGGGCGTGATCATGGGAGGAGTTCAGGTTCTGGTCGTCCGGGCAACACGAATTCCGGGCGGTCGAATTTGCCACGGACGGGTGTAGCGAATCGAGATACGACGTCGCCCGCGGGTACAAACTCCCTGAATCCGATTCCTCTGAAGATTGCGACGAAAGCGTTTTCCTCCTCTGGATGACGATCTTGGGCTTCCTGGTTGCCAAGGAAACCATCTCGATCTCGTGGAACAGCGCCCGGGCGACGCTGGGTTTGATGCAGCTCTGGGAGTCAACCTGGGAGTTCAGATTCAGATTTTATTTCTAATAACATAGCAGGTTCATGAATAAAATCAATACTACCTGAAATGTGTCATTGATCACAAAGCCACTGTTAAATTCAAGTATACATATATTAATGCACAATGCAAAATAGAAGTCAGAGTATATTGTAATATCATGAAGTAGACTACTTAAAAGTTTCAAATCATGATGAGAATGCAAGAGTGAAGAGAGCAAGTCACGTTGAAACGTGTGTTACAGTTTAGCTGTTCAAGCAGTTAGAAGATGTTCAAGGGTTAGGTGTAACAAGTCCATCGGTGTAATGTAGCCAGCTCCGCATGCCTGCAAAGCTGGTGTGTTACACCTATTATAAAGGACAGTTATACCGGCTATAACGATACAGATACAGACCTGGGAGTTCGGGTTCGCCCGCCCAGTCCGGACGTGCGCCGGTTCCGCCATGCTGAGGTCGCCCTCGCTGGACGAGCTACACTCGGACAGCGCTCGCGGGCTGGACGGGGTCGAGTCCACATCCATCCGGTCGTCCGGGAGACAGGCGGCGCCCGGGTGTGGCGTCCCCGCCGCCTCCGACTGGCTGCAGCCCCGCGCGCTCTTCCGCCGGGCGAACCAGGTGACCTTGTCCCAGACTTTTGAGCGGCTTTTGGCACGTTTCGGGGACTGGACGGTCGGCCCGTCGGAGTCGCTGGCTCCCCCGCTGGCGTAGTCATCCCCGCCCGCCGCTACGTCCATCCTTACACAGCTCTCTGTCTGAAACACAAGGCAGAACAACACATCAGAGATCTCAAAATTCTTGAGGATGATGTAACCAAACTCCAGTTCCTGCTGGCTCCGACCTGAGATTCCAAGACTTCAAGTTCACATTCAAGTTTCCATTTCCTGGCCTTTCGAATCTCCTGTAATTTTGCTTGTCAATCTGCCCTCCCCCCAATAACAAAACATGAAGAGAAACGTCAATACCAAATGTACAGGACACAATCTTATAAGTGGCCTAGCCTGTTAGGAAGGAACCAATGCTGAGGTATCAACATGAACAGTCTATACATGGTAACATGTAGTATACATGTGTGTGCTAATACAGTCACAAGTATGTAACTATACGTTTGTTGTCCTGCAAGTCGACAAGTCTGAGTGTAGAAGTGAGAAAATTCACACCTTCACACCTTCAGTCTTCAACTGTGAGCGCAGACAATAACGTCACAGCTTACAAGATTGTTGCAAGACTCTTATAAATATATCTTAACTGCTACAACATTATAAGATCCAGTAGAAAAGCCCTTACCTGAATCAAGGAATATAGTCAATCGGCTGAGTCCTGACTTACTAGATGAAAACGAAACTTTATGATTTAGAATAACAAAAGATGCCTCTCGTGCCCTCAATTTACTAGTTCCAGAAAGCTCTGGATTCCCTCTACACAAAAATGTGCTAGATTTGTCCCAACTAAACCACCTGCTGGAACCTCTCCATATAAGGTATGGGGCGTGGCAGAGGTGCTGGCAACTTTAGTCAGTAATGCCAGGGAAAGTAGGTCATCTCTGAAGGGAGTTGTCATGTAGTCAAACCCCATGTCTCAGGTGGAGTTGGAATAATGCCAATAGGGCTGGTTCAGTTACTGGTAGGTTTATAGGCCTAGGAAAATCAATGTTGAGTTTCTGATTACCTGAAAAAATTAGGGTCAGTACTATTTGATTAAGTTCAATATAACATTTTTACCCTGAAAGTTATTTTTGTACCACCTTTCCCTTCAAATATTATATTATAAAAGATAAACAACAAATGCTAGCTTTGTATCACTGCCATGACTACCTGTATACGGAATTTTGTACAGTTACACAGTATACAAAATATTGGATTAAACATTGTTACAGTAGTATCTGCTTTGAGTTTGCAATAATTGCAATATCATACATGCATGCTGGCATCAGTCCATGGATGTCACACAACAAAAACTGCAAACTTACATGTAGGTGAAACACATACAGTGAATATTACAAATGTACAAGTCATAACGTTAACACATGTGTAACTTATGAAATGTGCAAATCCAGGAATTGAGGTCAAATAGGAAAAGCAGATGAACTTATATACCGGGTAATGAGAATTATCTCTTGATCGAATGTTTCAACATGTGTCAGGACCCTATAAACTCCCAGTAGCACAGTCTAAACAGGAAGACTTGACTACACATGTATAATGCATGGAGGATTTAGAGAATTCCCTCAGTGACTCTACAGACACTAAAAAATTCATAAGACTGACTTGACCCTGTCAACTCTTTTGCAGAGGATTAGTAGTAAATTAAGTTATTCAGCTGAAGCAGATAAGGAAGACTGAAGCCTTGATAGGTGTTCTTTTAAGGGTTACTATGAGATCTTAGGAAAAGAATTAAGTTACTTCGTGTTAGGATTTAGAAACAAGAATTTATATTTATAGATCTAGATTTCCGACTTTAGTGTAAATTCATGTTTTCGTGAATTTATTGAAACAACCAACCAATGCAAGGAAATTGTAAAGTTGGGAATAAGGCAGAAAGGGTTGAAGGGTCACTCATCATGTAATCCGCAGCTTCTCAACTGTGTCAAACCATTTGATATCCTGTCATTCTGCCTGTCAACCTTCCCCACCCACATGCTGTCAACCTACTTGTACTGCCAGCACTAGTAGTATCACAATTATTGCTCAATATTTATTTTCAACTGATCCACAGAAGGGATTCTAGAAGGGTCACCATGACTGAATTTGTGGAAACAACCCCAGTGGGATATCAGTTATCACATCCATAGATTTTCTGAAGCTAATTATATTACTGGAATAATAGGATCCATCAGACGCATTACTGCAGGTAATCAGGGCTTGTGAATTAGCCAAAGGAATGTTTTGCTGTATAATAAACAGAAGCTTGAATCTGAATCTTTGTTTTTTTGGTAAAAGTTTCAAGTAAAGTAAAAAGTAATGATTTTAAAGGAAATTATTAATATAGAATCTTGATTCAGTGTGGATTCCACGATATAACCTAGATTCTGACTCTAAAATCAAAGAAGACCAGATGGATAGAGGAAGAATCTAGTGTGAGCAAATGATGAACAGCAACCCTATTTTAGTTTTATTGACAGCTGCAGGGCTCAGGCCTCAGGGTGAACATCAGCTGATTTATGAAAACTGTGTACATAGCGGGTGAAAGGCTGTATTCCTGCTACTCTCCAGCTGTGTGATGTCGGCCTAACACATGTACCTCGTAAGAGGCAATTAACATTTCTATTAATCAATTAACTGGGCTAATGGTGCTGAGTTGATGGATAGTTCCCATTATCTGCAGGCATAATCTAATTATACATGTAGTAAATTTCATTTTCATAAAAAAATTACACCTACTTTGAAAAAGTGAGACGTGTCATTTCTGAGTCAACAAACATCAGACTTCTGGGAAGTACCGGCTTTTCGTGTCTTGCAAGTTCATGCCATTTCCTGTGTCTGACCTTTTGATCTCATGTAATTCTGCCTGTCAATCTTTCCCATCCACATGCTACTAGTACTATCAACCTGCTCTGTTCAGACAGACCAAGGACATAATGTCCTTGGACAGACATAAACAAAAGCTCAGACACCCAAATTAAAACGTACATATATTGGAAGTAAGTTGGCTGATATACAAGTCGTGGCATTTCCTGAACATTTGGTCCTGGCATTTGGGCTCATGACTCATTCACATGTAGTTTTGGTAAAGGTAGCTACTTGTCCCAAATTATAATGAGTCACAAGTCCAAATGCCAATTGAGCAAATGTTCAGGTAATGCCAATTGTACTGCCAACTTGGAACAATATATTTGTTGATAAATGTATATATAACGTACAAATGTGCTACAGGTATATATCTATGTTATATCCTGACAGTAAAATTTTGGGCTATGTTTTGTGCCTGTTTTTTTTCTGCCCTGCTGCTTCATTTTTTTCTGAAAAATCTGAGACCCAACAAATTGAATTGGCGTAGCCTAATCCCAGAAAAAACATTGATCTAAAACAAAATAAATTTTTCACACCCATAAATGTGGTGTGTATCATGCAGAGGGGTTAAGACCTGGGGGCTCTGCAGGGGTTCTTTTTCATATCCTGTAGCCCCACATAACCCCATACAGTAACTCTCACGGTCAGATGATAATGTATGTAGTAATATCTTACACAAAACAAATTTGTGTATTCCATGATAAATTTATATATTCCTTCAAAATCTGGATTGAACTCAACTAGTTGATTAGGACCTAAAAAGGCAAAATAGATCATAAAGCTTTTTGATGCAGGAAAGATTGAAGAACTACACCTTACAGTCGTGTAAGGTAACCACCAAAAGACGATCGGACCATAATTTTTCGACATAAACCTACAAATTTTCGTAAAATGCTTAAACTATGGCAACTGGTGCCTAGAAAAACAAATCAACCGTAATATTGCATATAAATGCCTCAAAAACGGGAAATTCGTCTCTTAAACTCACCTCCGGGTCTATATCTCCATACTCTTCCTCCTCCTTGTCCTTCTCATCTTCCAAGTTTACGCAAAAACGAGAGTCTTAAAGAAATATCACGCCAGAAACACTCGAGACATACCTACAACATGCCACAAACGGAACAACACCTGTTTACCTACCGTCATGCACCGCGCGGGAGGTCAGCACGTCAAAGTTCGCCCTGGGTCAATTTTTATTTATTGTTCTCGCGAGAATTTACGAGAGTTTGTTGGCACGGTTCACAGCGCATGCGTGCATGTTTAAACGCTGGGTCAACAGGTCAAAGTTATCTCGCGAGAATTTGCGAGAGGATTGATCGAATCGTTAGAGCGCATGCGTGCATGTTTAATGAGTGTTTATTTTTAAACAGCGCCAGGCAACAGGGAAACACAAGTATACAAGCAGACGTTTCTGCTTAGCTTCATTCATTTGAGCCATCCTACCGTTACAGAAGGACGCTTGAAGAGATTTTCTGTCGCCAATACGTCGAGAAAAGGTTTGTGCTGATTTTCTGAGGTGAAAACCAAACTTTTAGCATGTTTTAGGGGGTGTTTTTGCGAAAAGAAGTTGGGTTTGGTGCGATCGGCCATTTTTTATGCGTTTCTGTCCTGGTTTTCGTGTTGTTCGAGCAAGATATATTTCGTGAGACCGAGTCATCAGTCTTGTCTAGCTGTCTCCCAAAGACAAAACGAGTATAAAATATTTATCTGACATTAAACAAAGGTAAAAAAAAAGCATTTTCTGTCCTATAGGGCGCTAGTGTTGGACCAGTCCTGTACTGAACTATTTGAAACAGGTTGTTGACGTTTCCATAGAAACACTTGAATACCTCAATTTCAACTTGACCAGTGACTCAGAACATTTAGATTTGTAATAGGGATTATTTTAAGTACTTCTGACGTAATTCTACGCCATTCTAATCACACAAGTACTAATCAAGTGGTGGTCCAACCTTTAAAAATTTGGTACAAAATAAAAGTACTACTTGTCAACCACCTGTTTGATTTCGACAGCAGAATTCCTAGTAAAATCTCCAGTTTTCTTCATCAAAAGTACTTAAACAGCTATACATGTGTGCTTTAAAAAAATTCATAATACTTTTCCCTGACACAACTTTGTGCAATTTTGTGTTCAGGACACCAGGAATTTCTTGTTGTACATGGCCATGTTATTTCTACCTGCCAATATTTTGCATTTGGTAGTCTGCTACCTTCTTTGGGCTGCAACGTCTTTGGACAGACTACATACAATAAATCTAGTCAAATTAAATCTACCAAATTGTTGAAAAAATTATTCACTTGTTTGTGCACAAGAAAACTTGTGTAATGGTGATCAAACACGATGAAACTTCTACATGTATTTTTGCCTCTAGTTTTTGATAATCTTACAATGTACTACCGTCTTGGGAACCAAATCTCACCATGATTTTCTCTCTTTATTCCTCCCCCAGTACGATATATCAGAATGGCAGCAGCAGTGAGCACCGCCGTGCAGCCCAAGTCCATGACCCGGGCGAAGAAGTGGGATGAAGCCGTGGAGAACGCTTACCGGTTCCAGCTGGCTGGCTACCGGGACGAGGAGGAGTACCGCAGTGTCAAGAAAGTCGATAGTGTGAGTAGAATTTACTCTGAAGTTTTTTTATATATAATATGCTAACATGTTCTGTACATGTACGTGTATTACAGTAGACTACAAGCTCCTTTGTTGCAATTCACTTTTCTTCACATTTAAAGGGAAAAAAAGTTTTAAGTTTTGATGAAATTAGTTTAAAATTTTACTTCCAAGGACTCACTTGTAGTTTTCTTTAAACCAGATTTTTGCTATGTATTCAAACTAGTCAAAGACGTTGCAAAATTTTTATCATTGATTTGAAAACTGTACTAGAGCCTGGTCCGTTGCAAATATAGTACAATGTTTTACCTTGAAAACCTTAGATAAAAATGATTGAGATAACATACAGTCACCCAGGAGTATTTTTGAATGTATTTTAGAAAGTTGTTTATGTCGGTTTGGCCAAAGCCTAGCGACCCTCCCACTCAACCCAACGTGGTGGTGTCAAGTTGCGATGACATCACCACAGGAAGTACCGATGACATCATCACTGTTTGTTATTGTTTTGAGTCGATTACACTAACGACTATTGCCCTGTGTCCATTTGAACATCGTCCCACGCGTCAGTATTCAATTTTTAGCTATTTCTATTTGTGAATTTTGCAGTCCTTTTCTGAAAAAAAACTTCCAATTTTGAAATGAACTAAAAAAAAAAAAATTCAGATACGTAGATACGAATTTCAAAGCATTGTGTTTTCTTTGTGCAACTGTAAGCAATTTGTACCCCAGTGCAAATTTGAACAGGACCAGTAACATGCTAATGTTTACTTTTACTGTAATTCACTTTATGTTCACGGTAGCAAAAGTTCACAGTCTGAGAAAAATGGACATGTTCTTGGAACTATATTTTCACGGTGGCAACAGGTGCAGGAAAAAGAAAGTCCAGGAATTATTTGTTAACTGTGATGATAAGTTCACGATACAAAAGTAACAGTGAACATAACAGTACTGTAAAAAAAACACAGGAATTACAGTATTAAGTTACACAGTTACACCATTCAGTGTTTCTAAACGTCTTTATCCCTTTTGTATTCCAGGCTGAGAAATGGGACAACGGATTTGTCAAGAAGCTTCAACGCAAGGACGGCTGCTTTTATTACTACAACAAGTCACGGGAGTGCTCCGACAAGGACGTGCCCAAGACCAAGCTCTACAACTACTAAAGAAAAGAAGAAAAAACTTAGATATCGAACATTTGGGGAGAATTTTAAGGACAATGTTGTTTAAAGGCTGGTCCTTTGTCTGACTTGGAGCCTTCTGCAGTTTTTAATGCACCTGCTGTCGTCACCGAAAACCTCTGCACCTGTGGGCCTCTCAAGGAGAATGAGAAGCCATGTTTGCTGACAAACTGTTGTCTTTTTTTTTTCAACTGCTGTTGACTTTTATCATGTGGACCACTTGTATGTGCTTAGCCTGGCAAACAGGCCCTGGGATGTGGTTTATACAAATGTAATGGCCACTTCAGGGGACTGCTTACAGGCTATCTCAACTGCTGTTGACTTTTATCATGTTGACCACTTGTATGTGCTTAGCCAGGGAAACAGGCCCTGGGATGTGGCTTTTACATTGTAATGGCCACCTTAGGGGACTGCTTACAGGCTAAATTGATGTGTCTTACACCATATAACTAGGGGTTGGCACTGGCACTGGGAGTGTTGTTACCAATATTGTATTCTATGCAGGAATTATATCTGTGGTCTTTTGTCGATGGCCGTTTGTTCAGTTCAGTATTAAATGTGCAGTGTTTGGTTTACTCTGCAAGAATGTAACAAATGACCAGGAAAGTGTTTGCATAAAAATAATACTAGAGAAGGGAGTTGTGATAGTATTGTTGTAAGGAAAAGGTAGGGCAATACGTTCAGAAAAAAAGAAAAATGATTGTTTGTGGTACAAGCTTTGCAAATGATGATCAGTGCTTTGTACATTGTCGAATTAATGCACAATATTGCCAGAGATCAGTGAATGTGGATTATATTCCGAAGAAAAAGATGTTTAATAAGAAATAACACCTATTTATTGGAAATCAAAGCATGTACAGTCAATATTAATTAATTCGATAACCAAAGAGCTTTCCTCTGTACTATGCATTCAATCTAAACATCTATGCAACCTTTCTCCAATCCGCACTCAGAAAAAAGGAATAATAATTATAAGTTTATACTTTTGAATTCTCGTATTTACATGTTCACTTGAAACAGAAGATCTATTTGTATATCTTGTGATATGCTGAATGATTATCTTGTAGACGACTATGCACTTTTTTGTTGTCTTTTGATTGTTGTTGTGTCAAAAGTTGTTTCATTCTGAGAACTCCACGTGTCTTAGAAATAAATCTGTTCCAGAAATTCAAGTAGTCTCGTAATCTCTTACTCTGTACAGTCACATAACACTTGAAGTGGAAATTGTATCTTTAAATGTAGAGAAAATACACAATGTCACTTTAACACAATGCAGTTCAGTTGGAACTGCTCTGAACTTGCAAACAGCATAACACTGGGCTTTCTGGTTATGTAAAGCTAGCTAGCATTTTAATTTTTAACTGCTGCTCCAAAGCAAATGACCTCTCTCTTGTAATCCTGACTACAAATTTCATTTGTACTGACTGCTTTTGTAAGAGAGGTAAAAATTTCAGCTGAGTTACCAGTGAATGAACTAGATGACTTTTTCAGAACACTAGTGGAAACAGTTTACAACATAAGAAGGATACAAGTTGAGCAACTCTTAAAATGAAGGAAAAGGAATGACAAATACTGCTACAAAATACTGGTACCTTCATGTAGTCTACACAAAGGATATATGTCTGCACTGTTTCATATATATTAACTCATGGCCACCACCTCACTTTGGCTTTACAAAAAAAGTTGCAACCCTTTGTTTGATACTAGTACCTTCAGCCTTTTCTTCAAACATGACTTTTATTTTCATTTGACCAGGCCTGCAGTACGTACAACAAATAATTATACTTTGTGAAATGGTTGTCCATTTCTATTGCTCCTTCCCAAATATACATAATATAACTGCTATGCAGTTTTCAATTTCCCTACAACACTACTATTCTAGCATAGCCTCTACCAGGCACCACGGATCGCTGGAAAAATTGTAGAAAAAAATCCCCTCACGTGGGTCGCATATTGGATCCTCTCTGGCCGGCTAACTCCCCTGGTATTCTATCCCTTTATTTCCGCTAATTTCTACTATTTTTCCAGCGATCCGCAGTGCCTGGTAGACGCTATTATAGTAGCCTCCGTAGCAGGCTTATAGAACTGGGGGTTTGGTGGTCTTTGGCTGTTTTCTGATTAGCCCAGTTATAAAAATTGGGGGTAATTCAACCAGGCCGGCTATGTTGACTGTCTATATGCAATCAGAAAATAGCACATAAAAGACTCTGAAGACCCCCCAAACCCCCATTTTTTGGCATGCTACGGAGGCTACTATTACAGCATTACTTGCATTACTCATTATGTCTAATATGACTATAGTATTTGCCTCAACTAGGGCCCTCCCCTGGTGGTGTTTTGTTGTTTTCGTCATTGCTAAAGTTGGTCGGGCCGTTGGGCATGTTAGCAGGGCTGTTGGCGGGTTCAGGACTAGCAGCTCGAGGGGTGCCTCGCGTGGAGGAGTGAGGACTTCTATGCGGCGTCGGAACCTTTTTCTTGTCTCCCTCTATCTCTACGACGACTGAATCGGCAGCGACTTCTTCCATCGCGGGCCAGTCGCCTTCCTCTTCTTCTGGCTGCTGCACCTTACTCAGTCGTTCATTAAGGGCTTGCAGGGCTTTTTTCCTGTGTGGTACAGACGAAAAAGGAAAATACTACTTTTTAGTATATAAATAGACATAGGAATTCAACTCTATGGCACTGCTATCTACTACATATACAATGAAGTGACAGATTTTACTAGGTTTAAGACTTAAGAGTGCGTGGCAAGTCTTCTGTTTACAAGTACTTCTCAACTTCTGCAACATAAATGCAGAAAATAGAGAAGCCAGCAAAAACAGTTGCCAGGGTCCATAAAAGACATGACATCGCTGCGTCTTTTTTGAAAACCCATTTAGAAAGACGCAGTTTTGTCCATTTGACACAGTTATCAGTGCATAGTGCAGGATAATCATTAGGAGTTCCAAGAGAAATCTTGACAGTGGGAGCTATGCTTAGTCTGTTTAGTATCTTACCTGGTAGCAAGCCATGCAGCAGTTAAAAACAGTCATACTGTAGGTGTGATGTGTGCTGTGTGCCTGGTGATGTGGTGTGTTTGGCAGTTAGGACCAATTCAGGTTCAGATCCTGTAGCTATAGTACTTTTTCTGAGGCTACATCATATGAAAACTTGACATGCCAAGGATTGAAGGAACTGCATCATATACCTTCTCCAATAGGGTGTGGCAATTGGTCAGATTTTGGTATTAGGCTGTGAATAAAACACTTAGTTGTGTAAAAGAGAGTCTCTTTATTCAGTGACTTACCAACCTGATGGAACTATTTAAGGATTAAAGTATAGGATTTGTGAAATACGGTCAAACCTGTCATCCAAGGGCTTTACCTTTTGACATATCACTTACAGTGCACACAGCGCACACACAGTCTTCAGTATGAGTTTTGTGTGTACCTGGGCCCAGCAAACACCTTAACCTGAGACCAACATGACCTCTCACCCTTCACCTCTCACCTTCTTCTCTCGGCATCAGCAGGGTCGGTACCGGGGAGAGAGATGGTGATGGAGGACGGAGCTCCCACATCGTACCTCTTCACTGTCTTCTTACACACCTGGGAGGAACAGACAGATGCAGAGGCAGTTATAAGTACTTCCTACACACTGTGATTCAGTGGAACAACCTACCTACAATTTGGTACAAATGTCCGTGACTGGACGGGCATGCCACAGGCAGAGTGTTCTCACAGGGCCAGAGACAGGAGGGAGTGGAGGAGGCTGATACTGGATGCCACCATAGTCCCCGACCCTCAGACATGAGGATGGGACTAGGTAAAGGTAAGGGTAGTCACAGCAGGAATTTTAAAAACTTATATGCCCAGATTATCTGATCACACACTGATTACTTAAACCTGATAACATGGCCACATAGAAATGTACTTAGTAATGAGTCCTAAAAATTCATGAATTTCAGGTTTTTTGGACTATGTTCTCGGATGTTATTCCATGACGGACCAGGTTCTGCCAAACCAGTACCCAGCCTTACTAGCTCACCGGTAGTAATTTAGTATGCCCTGGGTGGGATGCCCAAACGGGGCTTTGCCTGGTACGAAACAGAAGTAGACACCTTGATCTTGACCAGTCCGCTGTACACAGTGTTGGCCAGGATGGCGATGGGCGCCCCCAAGGCCTAGAGCCTAGCATACTATGGGTCTGGCATCCAGTCTACAAACAGGGCTTTACAAAGTATGACTCTTGAGTATAGAAGCAGACACCAGACCTTGATCTTGACAAGTCCGCTGTAGATGGTGTTGGCCAGGATGGCGATGGGCGCCTGCACAGGCCTAACGCGCTATGAGTCTGGTATTCAGTCTACAAACAGGGCTTTACCAAGTATGACCATGAGTATGGAATAGAAGTAGAAGTAGACACCTTGATCTTGACCAGTCCGCTGTACACCGTGTTGGCCAGGATGGCGATGGGAGCCTGGACGGGTTCGGGGAAGAACGTGGCGAAGGTGAAGACGTCGCCCATGTCGCCCTTCCCCTGGTTACCATGGCGCTGGTAGAACCGCAGGTAAATCCAGCTGGACAGGATGCCCATCCCACTCATCACAGGGTACGTACCTGTCGTAACCGTGGCGACCTGTAAAACAACACGTCGATGAAAGTTAGACATCCAGGTAATACGATATGCCAAAAAGCAGTTACTCAAGCAACTGGATATGACCGTTGCTTGTGTAACTGCATTTTGGCATATTTGATATGCTTCCTCCCATCTCCTGATCCTGCACAGTGTTTATATTCAATTTGGTTTTCGGTTTGGTTTTCTTTTTAATGCCCACGATCATGATAATGATCATTCTGGCATGCTCATTTTCACTTGAGTCTAGTGGGGAAAGACGTTTTAAGTGTCTTTCCCAAGAGCACAAGATTGGTGACAAGGTAGGGTTCGAACCCAGGACATCTTATATTAGTTACGAGCCAAATTAAACATGCTACCGCTATGCCACACGACCCCACAATTTACTCCACTTTGTATTTTGTATCTTCATGCGACAATTAAATAAATAAAAACCTTTAGCAGGATGGACCCCACCAACAGCAGGAGGGGCACGTGTTTCACGCGTAGGTCCACGGCTGGTACCAACACCTGGTCTGGTCTCGTCTGCTTTAACGCCACACAGACACCAGCCGCGAACCCCGTCAGCCCGTATATGTGCACCTGTGTATGTGAAGAAGAAAAATGTCCAGACTATATGTATGATACATACAAAATGACTAACAAACTGGTGGACGTATGTCCAAACTACTAAGTACCTATAAATACCAGCTCAGAAGACAACAAGAAATAGGCATGCCTTCAAGTACCAGAGTTATCAACCAAGGATTGAGGTGTTCAAGAATTCTTTCTAGAAGTATCGCAGAGTGGAACTTGCTGTCACGAAGTACAGTAGGGGCACTGTCATTAGGTAGCTTTAAACAACGTCTAGATTTAGATGTTCAAGGGTTAGGTGTAACAGGTCGATCGGTGTAAGTGTAGCCAGCTGCCGCCGCGCCGTGTGCCTGCGAAGCTGGCTACACTTACACCTGTTATACAGATACAGAGGCTGGTGTGTTACGCCGAAGGGCGGTTATAGTAGATACGGATACCTCAAAGATGTAGGAATCGTCCGACGTCGCCATGTACACAAACAGGTAGAAGAAGGCGGAGAATATCCCGGTAACTATGGTAACGAGAGTCAGGAAGATCAGGAGCTCCAGAGCACCCCATATCGGCTCCAGCAGTTTCCCCGCTGCCACTACCGCCGCTATACTCATAACAGCGTGAAGAATCTGCGTTTCTAGTAATCCGTGAGTGAGTAGAGTCCAGATCCTGAAGGTAGAAGGGATGAGGAAGCCAGGGTTGATGCTCAACGGTTCGACGAGATCGACTCCCAAGGAGACTAGGTAGCTGAGACAGACGACACCGCACACGGCTTTTACCACCACACTTGTGTTCGTCAGCGTCGTCACAAAGTGCTGACGCGCCACCGGCAGATACCGGTTTACTAGAACGTTTGACATGGTAAGTTTCCTCAGGAATTGCAGGAAAAAGTCATGAATTGCAAGAAATTCGCGAAGATTCCTCCTCAAAACATCGAAATCTCAGTCACAGGTCCGCCATCTTGGTGTGAAGTCGTGGCCATAATGACGTCACTCTGATTAGCCTCTACCAGGCTTCGGGAGGGGTTTAAAATAGTAGAAATCGACCAAATAAAAAGATAACATGCCGATGGAATTTGGTCGAGTGGAGAGGACAGTTCTTAAGTGGCAAACTGTTCTCTCCAGCAGACCAAACTCCATATTGGCATGTTTTCGCTCTTTATTTGGCCGATTTCTACTCTTTTTAACCCCTCCCGAAGCCTGGTATAGGCTTACGCGGCCTCGTTCTGAAGTTCGATCCCATCGTTCCAGAACAAGTATGGCGGAAGGCGGAAGGTTGGTGGGCATCACTTCTGCAATTTTCTCCCAAAATTAGCAAATTAGCGCCTTCTAATCAGCTTTATAGCTCATTAACGTCATCACAGGGACTCATAGAGTCGTTGAAATGCCACCAAACTGAGCTGTGCGGCGTATGTATGAGACATTTGGCCGGTTTAGGGTATCAGATTTCGTGCCCAAGAATCAGGAATTGTTTTTATGATTTCCCGCGCGCGGGATCAGGGAGGGCGTTAGGCTGACGTTCTTTTCTGCGTTTAACGTATAACATCCAGATGAAAAATACTGATCATTCGGCAAACGTACAGAATCGAAAAACGTATGAAGAAGTCAGTGTTGTGAACTGGGCATCTTGAATACTTGAGTATTTCTCTCCTCCAAGTTTTCAGTAGCCCACGCCCCCCTCCCCCTTGACCATAATGATGCAAATTGTGTATATGACAATTACAGTAGGAACCCATGCTTTAGGGTGCAAAGGTACGAAAGTAACGGGTTCCTTACTGGGCGCCCAGTACGGAAACCGTGGAGAAAATAGCGTCGATACTCGGCGCCCAGTTTTGAAGAAAGCTCTAAACTGGAATTCCAGTTCGGAACGGCGTTATTCCAGTACTGAAGCTTCGTCAGAACTGGAAGTTCAGAACTGAATCTTGTTTCGGAACTCGTTTTCCAGACCTGAACGCCCGTCGGTACTCGGACCCCAGTACTGTGTTGCGTCCCGGCTACAGGAAGGCTGGTTCAAAGGTCATTCAGTACTGGTTACCCAGTTCGGAGGTCATTCAGTACTGGAAAGCCGAGTGTCGATGTACCTAAGTAACGGGTTCCGTACTGGATTGACCAGTAAAAAGTGACTCTACAGTACTGGAAGCCGAGTTTTCAAATTATTTCTGAACTGGGCTTCCTGTTCTCACGTTCTAATTGTACTGGGATGTTCCAGTACTGAATACGATATGTCTCAATATAGTAGTAGAAGTAGCCTTGCTGACATCACCGACGTATATAAAACTAGTATTGGTCTATAATACTATAAACTAGAATAAAAACTGACTCAATTTTTGAGATATTGCATTTATTTGTGGTCGTGATTTTGTGATTACGATATAGCTCTTTTGGGATTCTTGGCATGGGTGGCCCTGAAAAGGGCCGGGGTTTCATTGAGGTCGCTTGCGTTGGCAGTTCTGAGCTGAGCTGAGGATCTCACGCTGAAACTCCAGCATTGACACGATCCAGCAGTGCGGAAATGGAGTCGCGTGGTGGAGAATAACCATCCAACGTTCAGTTCTCGGTTTCCAGAACTGATTCAGAGTTTTCCAGTTCTGAAGTTGCCTCAGATCTGGAAGCCCAGTTCTGACAGAACTTCCGAACTGGAAGTTCAGTTCGGAAGGCACCTTCAGTACTGAACACCGAGTACTGAGGGAGGAACCCGTTACTTAGGTACTTTTGCCTTTAGGGTAGTATTAGAAGGCTTTAAATGCACATATATAATACACCTGTACTTATAGGACTGATAGGGCTTGAATGTAAAAGGAAGGCTAGTAGGAATTATATTTTATAACATCTCGTATAGTGATGCATACCGGTTCACTGGACTTGGATCCGGACTTAAAAAATGTTAAGTCCAAAAAAACCTAAAAGTCAAGAACCGAGTCCGGACTTATTACCATAAAAGACCATTTCACATACCCCTTTTCTTTCCAAACCACCTAAAACCTTCTGTAGATTGTAAAATCTTTGCTGCAAAATGAAGAAAACATTGCCATCGGGCATCGTCAAGTACCGGCCTCCATGTTATGTGGCCAAAGTTTCACCCAGACAACATTGCAAGGTTGCCAACATGCAATTTAGTATTTGCCATGGGTTTAGGTCTGGACTTACAAGTCCGGACCTGAACCTGAACCTCTGGACTTGAATCCGGACCTGAACCTGAAATTGGGTTTAGGTATGCATCACTAGTCTCGTATAAAAAACCTCTTTATTGTTACAAATCGGCTATACTAACTTATATACTGTTCTTTTCTTCTAGCTTATCAACAAGTATACCGAAGTGATAACCTGCAACAGCTGCATAATTTATAATTTCACAGGTAAGACATAGTAAGGCCACACCAAGTAAATTTTATGGATGACGTCCTTTGGAGACCCTAAATCTAATGCGGGAGGGCGAAAAAAAAACAAGAAGGGCCCTAAAAAACAAGATGCCTAGATTAGAAATATACTAAGAGACGACAAATGTTAGGACACAAATTGAATGAGGTGACACAGTGTAACAAGCAAGAAGTCTTTTATTCATCATCAAAACAGCAATAAATCAGGTGGAACAGTGGACAGTGAAAAATTTTCTGTTCTGTTCCGACACCTTGCGTTACGGGTTTCACGTCAATCTGACGATTTGCGACACTGCCGTGACTTTGGTCATAGTTACAGGAAGCAAAATTTCTTTTTTTTTTTCTAGGAAGAGGCCAAAATCAATGCGCGCGCGGACGTCATCCATAAAATTTACTTGGTGTGGCCTAACCTGGACATTATGCCCCAGAGAGGGTTTTGTTCCAGTATTTATAAGACTAAGAAGATAGTGAATTAGTTCAACTTTGGGCTTTAATAGGAAGCCTGTGAAGCATTGTGAATAATACGTCAAAGCCCCCGGGTTGTTTTCGGATAGAGGAGTGGGCGCACTGGACAGGGATCCGGATGGACCCAGGGTGACCATGGCCAGTGGCTGAAAGCGTGGGTTTTCGTAAATTAAGAAAAATGACTTGGGTGACATTTTTCTGGACTGTTCTTCTGCAGGGAAGTAGCTAGAGGAGCGAATCAGTAGTATTGGATGGGTGCCAGGCTACATGTTTGGTCAAAGTTGCATCAGAATTTTGCCTGCTGTAGGTATCGTTTTGAAAACAAAATTTGAAAACTATAGACTGGATGTCATCCTTGATGATTAGAGACGCTCTGCCAAAGTGCTATGTACACTGATCAGGTTTTGTGCAAATGCAGTACATTCTGACAATGATGCTACAAAGCTGTTGTCATCACTGTTGCCTACTGTTGCATTCACTTGCATGTCAGGGAATCTTTCCAATTTTGGCCAACTCCACTTCTTTCCTCTTTTGCAGACGTTCTTTAGTACAGGGAGGAACCACTTCGCAAGACAACATGGCATCTGAAACCCCCCTGCCCAAGGGCTGGACCAAGAAGGTTGTTCTACGTCAGTCTGGTGCATCCGCTGGCAAGACAGACACTTACTTCTACAGGTAAACATTCTGGAGTTAAGACACAGCAATTTCTATTTTGATTTGTTGTTTCTCGGATTACAATGAAGCAAGGGGGCAAAAAACAGGTCTTGGCACCCTGTGATAGCCCAAAACACTATGTATACTTCTAGTCAACATGCTATTCTGGTTTATGATTCAAACATTGAATTTCGTACTTTTAGCTGAATCTTTTTTGGTATGACCAACAATGGTGCTGGCAAAGAACCAAGAAGTCAAATTGGTGCAGACCTTATCTTGGTAGCCAATGATTTTATCTGTATAATGAGTCAGGAGTGAGTCATCCTTACTTGCCTAGTCATGTGCACAATCTGATGTAATGTGTTACACATGGATTTTAACTGTTCAGTTAGGAATGATAATATTTCTAAATGTTGTTTCCAAAATTGTTTCAAATTCAGTGGTAAGGGTAATATGGACAAAAATGGGAACTTGTGTGAAAGGAAGATCTGTAGATGTATGTTCTAACCCTATGTACATACTCAAATAAACAAATATTCTTCATTAAAACTAATTTGAAAAATGAATTTAAAAATAGATTTTCTTATCTTGAGAGTTCATCTATTTGTTAGAAGTCACTGTGAGACAGTTTAAACTTGCCTCATATAATGACTCTGTTTTCTTTTTCAACAGCCCTGAAGGGAAGAAGTTTCGATCGCGCACAGAGATAGCGAAGTACTGCAAAGACAAAGGGCTGAAGATCGATGTCGAATCCTTCACATTTGGCGGGAAAGTGACGTCACCCGCGAAGAAAACTCCTGCGAAGGAAACGCCCACAACCTCCAGGGGACGCGGCCGGCCCCCAAAGTCAGCAGCGAAAGAAAAGGAACAACAAAAAACGCCGGGGAAGCTGGTAGTGAAGATGCAGTTTTCACCACCGAAGAAACGATCCAAGAGTTCGGACAGCTCCTCCAAGGAGCCGGCTGCAAAGAAACCGAGGGGTCGACCTCCAAAAGCCAAGCAGGAAGTCAAGGTCAAGTTCCCCATGGGTCCTAAGGCAGCCCAAAGTCCGAAGAAGGGTAAGGCACCAGCAAAGAAGGAAAGAAAGGCGCCGGCGGTGAAGAAACCAGCGAAGCCTGTGAAAGAGAAGAAGGCGAAACCAGCAGCTAAGAAGGCGGCGAAGGCCCCGCCCAAGGCCAAGCCTCCTGCCAAAGTCGCTAAGCCCACTGCACCGAAACCGCTCAAGAAACGGAAAGCCCCCGAAGAAACCGGGACAGCGGCTTCACCGACCAAGAAAGCGAAGCCGGAGAAGACGCCAGAATCTCCCTCCAAGTCTGAAAAAACAGGTGAGTCCAGCCAACCTACTGAGGGAGGGGTAGTAGTACTTGATGAATTGTCGGGGAAGGGGACGGAAAAATCAGAAGAGGCGACCGAGCCCGAGATCATCTCCATCTCTGAAGCCGCTTCGGGCGACGATCGAGAAATGTCCCCTCCCCGCGAGGGCATGAGTCCGGAAGAGCTGATGCCCTCTGAGAGCGAAGAGGAAGAAGACGAAGGTTTCGTTATAGTGGATGTGAAAGACTGTGAGGATGAGCCTGAGGTGGTTGCAGAAGTTCCACCGGCTGCAGCTCGCGCTCCAGAGCCACCCAGGGCAGGAAACATCGAGACACTCGTGTTCAGACCGCTTAATACACCCGAGAAAAGCCAGGGGGCGACACAACAACAAGCCGTAACAACGGCCGGTCCAGTTCAACAGGAGAATGCAGCTGTGATCACGCCGCCGCCCGAGCCGGCTAGGGAAGCCAGCAACTCGGGATCGCGCGGTTCGTCCGAGTCTGGCAGCACCACGTATCTCCCCGAGATCATTGAGTGCCAGGCTCCCGCTGTGGGTCAGGCCCAGACTCTCCTTCCCCCGGCCAACACGACCGGCCGCCTGCCGCTGTCCAGAACCCAGAGCTGGGGCTCAAACATCCCCGAGCCGTCGGTTTCGCCGCTGCCTAGGAGCATCTCCCCGCTCACGGACAGGTCCGACAACACGGAGCCAGTCAGCGCGTTCGAGCCTGTCTTCCCGCAGGGCGTTGCCACGACGACAAGGGTTCTGGGCGACGCCGCCAGTGGAGGGAACATCTTCGAACGACTGGCGCCACCTTCTTCAGACGGAGGCGTCTCGACCAACGTCGCAGCAGCATCCGAGGAATATCGTCGGAGCGCTTTCCAGCCTGTGGTCCCTCCGAGTTTGGGACGCCAGGCGACCAACCACTGCGCGGTCCCCCCGCCGAGCGGCGGAGGTAGCGCGTTCCAACCCGTGCTCCCGTCGTCCGCGGCAACGGGAGCTACCACTAACGGCGAGGGCGGGGGGGCCAGGGGGAGGGAGGTAGAAACTGTAACAAATAGCGACGGTAGAGGTGATGCTAGCTCTGCAGAGAAAAGTGAAGTTAGCCCTGCACAACCTATAATGCCCCCATCCTACAGTTCATAAAAAAACTGTAGCCAAATCTTACTGTTAACTAGGTAATTGCTATTCTAAACAACTAGATTCAGGCTTGGGAGCAGTTTAATCCAATCAATTTGCTGTCGAGTAGGCAAAAATTTTCTATCCACTGACATATTGAAAATTAGACTTGACGTACCAGCCAAGAAGTGTACAAAATTTTTTTGTGAATAGTTTTTTGGTGAGAGATAATTTCAGGTTTATTTCGAACGGATGACAATATACAAATGTACCAGTACAACAACTTGACTTCTTGCAGGCAGGAGAAAGACTTAGTGGTGCGGTGTTCAAATACATGATCACAAAATGATGCTGCATTCTTACATGGAATGGGGGAGGGGGGCAGGTTCCTCTGGATGGGTAGCACCAAAACGCAGGTGGGTTTTAACCTTCAGAGGGCTAATGGTGTCAATATCATGTCATGGTAGAAAACTGTTGAAGGTACGTCTATGGAGGTTAGACATCCAGGTAATGAGAAACTCAAGAAGACAGTTACTTTAAGTTAAATCAATGAGGTTTTAACCTCCTTGCTTAAACTGATTTCTTGTGTACTGTTGAAGGTATTATTATTATTACTCAAATAGAGTAAAACAAATATTGGAGACCCACATTGTAAAATACTAAAACTAATGATCAATTGAAAATGGATTTTGGGAGAGCCTTAGGTGATTATTTTGTTGGAAGCCAAAATCATTACTTAAACAGTGACTTAGAAATTTTACTGTCAATGGGATGTAATCACTTGTTGACAGGTTTCAAAAGTCACAAAATCCCACAAGATGGGGGAATAGTGAATAGTGAGTGTGTTACAAGATTCTTTATTTTATACCTACACCTTTGTTTACTAATTAGAGTCTGTTACAGGAAGACATTGTCTTTGACAAAGAAATAATGTTGTTAGAAATGCTTGGAAGCTTGTACCTACAGCTGCTTTGTTTTATTTATATTTCATATGCGAGAAAGTAGCTGACATGAAGACCTTTCAAAGCACTGGGGACAACAAGGATGACTATGTGGTGTAGCCTTGGTAAATTGAAGTCTTCAAAAATTTAGAAATAATCATAATATTTTTATGATTGTGTAACAGTAAGGCCACACCGACTTAATTTTATGGATGACATCCGCGCGCGCATTGATTTTCGCCTGTCGCCCTCAAAGAAAAAAGAAAAAAAGATCACGTCCACCCAGGCTCTGGCCTGGCTCTAGGCCTGGGTAGTCCATGGTAGTTAGCGACAATACGGAGCCGAGCACCCAGGCTATCGAAGCTCCACGACTCAAGAACTCCGTACCGATTCATAAATTCCGCAAAAAGCCAGCATGTGCCGTCTTGTCGTATGTACGTCGCTAAGTACTGCCGCGAATTTACAATACCAACTTTGTATTCCTGTGGCTTAGTACTAGTAGCATTTTTGTTTTGGGCCGGAATGTTTTTTATTCGCCCGCGCGCACTAGTTTGGGGGTCTTCAGAGGATGTCATCCATAAACTTAAATCAGTGTGGCCTAATGGTAGAAAATTTAGTGAAGTAGCCAATGACTACACGAAGAGTGATGATTTCAAAATTAGTTACCATGGAGACACCAAAGGTAGCAGACAATGACTGGAAGAAGTGTAATGATTTGAAATCAGTTACCATGGACACACCAATGGTAGCAGCCAATGACTGGAAGAAGTGTAGTGATGTAATCAGTTACCATGGAAACACCAATGGTAGCCTTGTTCTGTTTTCCATTGAAAACTTGATTGAAAGTACACTTGGTGTACAAGCTTTTGTAAACTCTTAAAGCCAATTTTGACTGGATTGGTAAGGTTGCACAAACTTGATATAATGCGGAAATGGTTTTTTGATTGAATGATAAAGAGTTTTCTACCAGTCACGGATTTTAATTTAAGACCAGGTATTGTTTTCGAAGTTATGAGTGAATTTTGGATTTTGTTTAATATTCAACTCAAAATTGTTGACATGTCTCTATATAGCCTGAAGGACATTACAACAGTTTGATTTGTTAATAGTTCAAACTTTTGGTCCAACACAAAAAGTTCTCACCTAGAGCTTTCGACCAGTCACTCTGGTCTTCCTCAGTAGACTGACCCAGTGAGGCTTGTCACGCGGCTTCTTTGAAGTGTGACATCAACACTGGGTCAGTCTGCTGAGGAAGACCAGAGTGGTCGAAAGCTCTAGGTGAGAACTTTTTGTGTTGGACCAAAACTTTTAACTCTTAACATGTAACTACCAACACAGATGAACTTTCATGATAACAGTTTGATTTGTATCTGCACTCGTGTGAGGAACTAAATGGCTGCAAGTTATAGTAATTGTCGAGAATTTGTACATAACTCAGAAAGATTTCTTGCTTTGACTGACGGACTTCAATCACTAAAAAAACATTCCTGGTCGAAATTGGCGTTTTTCTCACTTCAGTATTTTGTATGTTTGTAACCGTAGAGATATCACCATGTATGTTGCACTATCTCAAAAGAAAACGTAATTTAAACAATGAATATGTATTTGTAGTGCAGTGGCTGAATATGACTTATAGTTTGCTATATGTAGGTGGTTCTGACAACCATGTGTTTGTGTTACTGTTTGAAAACGTGACAATTCATGAACTTGAACTGAATGGACTTGAGTCTGTTTTGATTGAAACTGTGTATTCATACTGGCAGAGAGAATGTATAGGCAAGTATTTTATCTGTACATAGTCCAGAAATGCTCTATATAACCCGACTATACTGCACCAGTCTTTAGTGTGAGTGAAAAGAAACTTTAGGTGCTGGAATGAAATAAATATTTCTGTAGCCCTACATCTGTGGGATGGACTGGTTTGTGTTTTCTTGTTTGATTTGAAGTGCTTTGAGTGGAAAAAAGGATTTTGAGATAGACATTCTGTCCTTGGGAAAGGCTCATCCTGACTTTCCTCACTCCACCCAGGTGTGAAATGGGTACCTGGTTTTGGTTGGGGAGGTAAAAGGCAGGGGAAGGAGAGTATATACAGGAACTAAAATTGTGCAAAGTTGTTAGCCCTGGTTTGTTTAGAAAACAATGAATTCAGCATGTATTTTGAGGACGAGCCACACTTAATCAAATCCTCATCTATCAATATTATGTCAGTGGCTATGAGTGGCTAGGCCAGTGGACATGAGATTGAGAGGTCATTATATGTTTCATACATCGCATTCCTGGCTAGCCGGCTACACGTGATAACCTACAACGGAGGTGACCACAACGTAACCAAACAATAGTTGTAGAGTTTAAGCCTTAGTTCCAACACAAGAAACCATGAATGGATTCTACCAACAGAGATGAGCTTTCATTCTTAACCAAACGAGGTATGCCCTGTAAACTGGACTTTATACCATAGTAACATTGTCTTGCACAAAACAGACTGGGTCGCTTTGTACGAAGATTCATACAGATACAAAATTCACAACCCGCCAACATGATGCCTTTACAGACGTAGCAGAAACAAACGCACCAGCAGCAGAAACAGTTGCAGACACAGCAGCAGCAGGAGAAACAGTTGCAGATGCTGCAGCAGGAAAAATGGTTCCTGACCCAGCAGAAACAGACCCTGCAGCAGAAGAAACAGCAGAAACAGACCCTGCAGCGGCAGACACAGCAGAAACAGATGCAGCAGCAGTAGAAACAGGTGCAGACACAGCAGCAGCAGGAGAAACAGTTGCAGACCCTGCAGCAGGAGAAACAGATGCAGCAGTAGGAGAAACAATCAAAGATGCAGCAGAAACAGACACAGCAGTGGCAGAAACAGACACAGCAGTGGCAGAAACAGACCCTGCAGCAGCAGAAACAGCAGAAACAGACCCTGCAGCAGCAGAAACAGCAGAAACAGACCCTGCAACAGCAGCAGGAAAAATGGTTGCAGACCCTGCAGCAGAAACAGAAGTCAGTCCGTATTTCAGCGGCGCGGCAGGTAACCTCCCCCCGCCGAAGGAGAAGTTCTCGGCCACCAAATGGACGCCGCCGCGATCGCCCTTTAACCTCGTCCAGGAGCACCTGTTCCACGACCCCTGGAAAGTTCTGGTGGCGACAATTTTCCTTCAGCGGACCACAGGTGAGAATTTTCATGGAAGTTCATCTGTGTTAGTAGTTAGCTTGGTTACCAAACCTATTATAGCTCACGAGTCCTACATCCTCTCCACAAATAGAGGATTCAAGAGCTACAATAGGTTTGGTAACCAGGCTAGTTAGTAGTTACAAATGTACATGAAAGTTCATCTGGGCCTAGGAAAACAAAGGTGTTTCCTGTTTTCCTACGGACCCTAGAAAGACCTGCCGACCCTAGACTTTTCTATTATGAATCCTAGCAAGTACATACTTTTTCAGAGCTGATAAACATTTTCTAGCTCCATGATCTGACACCTGAGAGATGAAACATTGTACAACCAGTTTACTGACATTGATATTGAAAATAAAAGTGTCCTCATGCAAGTTTTACTTTGTTAAACTGTACTGTATGACTTGGATCACTAGCCAAAGTAAAAATGATAAAATTAAAAAAAAGATAATCCCTACCTGCGACCCTATTTTTCTGAAACAGAAAACACAATTTTTTTGTAGTGTTATACGTTAGTAGTTACATATATAAAGTTACAGCTTTCGATTTGAAAAATCTTGGATTCACTACCATTCAAAATGGGGCTAATTTTTGAAGTTGAATGTTTCCAGGCCAGAAAGCGATTCCGGTGATGTGGGAGTTTTTCCGTCGCTGGCCGTCAGCCGAGGCGACGCGCGGCGCGGACTGGAGACCGATATCTGAGCTTCTCCAGCCGCTCGGACTGTACAAGAGACGCGCACAAATCCTCATCAAGTTCTCTGGTAAGATTTTTTTTTAGCCGAATTTAACGTCATTTTTCCCCAACCGGGGGTTAGACGTGCTTGCACCAAGTACAATTTTTACAACAGCTGGATGCTCTTCCTAACCCCTTTCTGAACCCTAGTAGGGCCCAGGATCCCTCTAACTGAGGGGGGAAATGTGTGTTAAGTGCCTTTCCCAAGGGCACAACGTCTGGGTGGATGTCCAGACATGTCTGGGTCCAACCCTGGGGATTGAACCTGGGTCTGCTTGCTTGACAGTCGGACGCTCTATCCACTACACCACACGGACGCCACACAATATACATCTCAAAACAGGATGTCATCCTTGTACACGAATATGGCCTTAAACAAGACGTTCTGTTGAAATTCTTTGCACAATACTTTAATCTGCAAGCAGATCTTTAAGTTGGTGGCTGCAAAGACAGTATCAAATTGGCAAGACCGTATCCAACACATCTATATGATACTGTATGGAAAATGGATACTGCCTGGCCTGTTTGAGACTGTCTTTGCATCACCAAAAGATCTGCTTGGAGATTTTACTATTACAGGTTTCGCAGTATGTTCTGTCGATGTGCCGATCTGCTGGTAATCTATATTTATTATTAGTATGCACAGATTGTGTAGTTGTGGCTGAATTGTTTCGTCATAAACCTCCTTGTATTTAGGTTTTGTTTTTTTGAAGCCAAGATTTATATACTATCCAGAAGTTTAATAATTCTCTTCTTTGCCCTACAGAGGAGTACCTGACCAAAGACTGGACGTACCCAGACGAGCTGTACGGTATCGGCAAGTATGGAAACGACTCTTACAGAATCTTCTGTGTCAACGAGTGGAGACAGGTGAGTACTGTTAAGTAGTCAGTCACAAAAAGGTTTCATGTGACAGCTATAAAGAACCTTATGGACACAACAAAAGTACAGCGACTTTTGTAAGGTCTAAAACTACATGTAGACAATACTAGACATACAGACAAAGACATGGGTACGACGAAATTAACCTACATACAAGACAATAAGTTATATGAATTATCTCAGTCACAAATAGGTTTTAAAGGGCCAGCTATAAATTATCTCCCATATGATCTTTGCATACATTATATTAGATATTAAGATATCAATTGATGTACCTTTGGGGTGGGTTGTCTGTGGCTTACTGTGTATGTTTGAATGGACAGAGTAGGTTGACAGCACGTGGATGGGGGTAGATTGACAGGCAGTATGACAGGTCAAAAGGTCAGACACAGGAAATTGGGTGGATGTAAAGGTCACAGAATCTGGCCGGCAGCCAGCAGGAATTAGAGGTCGACATAAGCAAAATTCAGGAAACTGAGGTTTGTGTATTATTAAGTGACCCTCCAACCCTGCACAGTTTCTGTCCTAGTCTCGATAAGTATGTCATACAATCTCCACAGCTGTTCTTATAAATTCACAAACCCAAAATACTGCCCGGGAGTCTAAAACCTCTGATTTCTTCTTCTTCTGTAGGTGATGCCGAATGACCACAAGCTGAACGACTACCATAACTGGCTAGTGAAGAACCACAGGGAACTGGGGATATAACAGGGCTATACCATGACTGAACTTCAAGTAGTAATACACAGCAATCAAGTAGTGGATTAACACATGGCTAATTTGGTGCAAAGGTAGCATAGTGAAGTTAGAATTTTTAGCAAGCCAAAGTTATAGATGTATGACTTCTCACAGCACATATTAGACTTCTATTATAGAGTTACTATCATTTTTTTACAGTTTTAAAATGTCTGGTGTACATGTTGAAATCCCTTTGTCTTATGTTTTATTTTAGCAACATTTTATGTACACTTATAAGTACATTTAGAAAGACATTTTGATGTTTATTGGTGACTTGCATCACTGACAAGAAAGGTATAAATATTTAGTAACATAGCAATGTGCAAGAATACAAAAGTTTCCAGCCATTCCATCTATATATCTGTGCAAAAAAAACTTTTATATAAAGTGAAGTGTAATAAGATTAATCATGTTCAACAATAGATGGTGAGAAAATGGTGAAGGTTGAAATTATTTGGCATTAAAATGTGAACAGTATGAATGTAAATGCCTTGCATGGTATATGTATATGCACAGGGATATATTCCATGCACAGGGAACTTAAAGATATGAAAGATTTGACATATTGAGGCCAGAATCATTCCAAACCATTGATGAAACTAACTGTAGATGAAACCAAATAACACCTCGAGATGCCTTAAATGAAAACATGATGATTTTAAAGCCTTTTATGTGAAACTTGTGATCATTCATTTGAAAAATAAACTTTTTATTACATGGGTATATGAATGATGACTTGTGGAGCATCATTATTTATAAGCTTTGAGTAAAAGGGACTGAAATCTATCATGTGTTCAGTTTGTGTAGCCTGAATGTTAGCCTTTTTAGACTTTTTTTAATCCTGTCAAATTGTTCATTTACCTGCACTGAAACCTTTGCACTGGTATCTGTGCCTGTTCCATTGCCCAAAGGAGTGATCATTAGCCATTAATTATAATAGCTCCGGTGTCAAATGGTCACTCCTTGGCTTGGAGATTAGTCTGAAAAAAACTACGGCCGCATGTTTTCCCGTGAGTGTAGTCTCCACCAGACTTCTTTCCAGGCTAAATAAATAGTAGAAATCGGTCTAAAAAGGGCCTATACTTGGCCAGAGAAGATGGTCAGCCAGAGAGGGTCCGTTTGCCTACACGAACCCTCTCTGGCCGGCCATTTCCTCTGGCCAAGTATAGGCCCTTTTTAGACCGATTTTTACTATTCATTCAGCCTGCAAAGGAGTCTGGGGGAGACTACGGTGAGTGCCCGCTGAGGACACCCTAACCCGAGCTCCCGTCAGTCACCAAGCAGATCCTACGGTGGCAAGGCTGTAACCATTGACAAGAGGAGCTATTAGCTTTGGTGGCTCATGGTTAGCCTCCTTCGCAGTCTTGTTGGGCGTGGGCGTTATTTTTGTGAGCGACGCGAGTAATATGCCGCCGCGAGGGACGATTTGCTGCCGAGGGAGTTTTTGCCGCCGAGAGAAGGATTCGCGCTCGAATCCTACTTTGGCCAATGGTTACAGCTGATGATCAGTGCCTGATAATCGCCTCTACCAGGCTTCGGGAGGCGACTGGAAAGAGTAGAAATCGGCCAAATAGAGAGAGAGAGCATGTCAGGGGAGTTTGGTCGGCTGGAGAGAACAGTTTGCCACTCCCGAAGCCTGGTAAAGGCTAGCCCGATGAGGACATCCTAACCCGACAGTCAAACCCGCCACCCTACCTAACGCGGGGCCACGCCTATATTGTCCCCGGTACGAGGATCACTGCCTCCCTACGCCCGGGTATCTCATTTTTCGCCGGCCAAATGGATGCTGCTTTGCGAATTTGATACTGACTTGTCAATTTGTTACTGTCTAGCAGCCACCAAAAAATCTGATAGGTTGCACATTAGAGCCGCTAGCAAGGCCAGAAAGTGACCAAGGGGCATCTAAAGCCCTAGCCTCTACCAGGCTTCGGGGGTGACTGGAAAGAGTAGAAATTGGCCAAATAGACAGATTACTACTGTCTATTATTACTCTAGCGGACCGACTCTCCTGACGTGTTAGCTCTCTATTTGGCCAATTTCTAATCTTTCCAGTCGCCTCCCGAAGCCTGGTAAAGCTACAGCCACTTGTTGTCCTGTGAGTGCCCGCTGAGGACACCCTAACCCGCCAGCTGCCCTCCCGCCGAGCCGCTGCTATAGTGTCCCCGGTACGGGGATCACTGCCTCCGTACGCCAGGGGGGCAGCGCGACAACAATACCCGGACATCCCATATACCTACCCGGACACCCTATCCTATTCACCCCGGGCCGGACCCCGCTTGTCCTCTCAGGAAGGGAGAAAAGGGACGACAGGGTATCTCCCAGTCATTCTCCCCGCCCAACTGACCCGGTGCAACCCCGTTTGTCTCACCCCAACGGCACGCTGGCTAACTCTATAACACCGGTAACCAAGACTCTGGGAGGATGCAAGGCCGGATATAGCCTGGTAACCACTCTGTACAGGCGGTCTATGGAGTGATTTCGGCCTCGGTAGTTTGTTGGCACTTCCATACATACTGCAGTACACATCTGGAACAGTCTCGCAGACAACGCAGTGGTCTTCCTGACCACTGACAACAACCTCCAGTCATTTAAAACAAGAGTACACCGGCATCTTCTTTCCACCATCAGGACTTCTACATGTATTTAGAACCTTGCAGTTACTGTAAACCAGTGATTAGCCAGGAGTGTTATAATAATGTTACAACTTTTCCTCTGGCAGTCGATCTTAATTTTCAGTCGGCCCTTTTAAATGAATGCCGAAACCACAAGCGTACGCTGGGCGCGAGGCTAGGCAGGGTTGCATTTTCTTAACACACACGAGATAACGGACAGCCTCAGCGGCCTGATCACCAGGCTAGGCTGGATAGAGCGGAGAGTGGAAAACAAGCCTGTAACACGGTTCAAGTCCAGTCCATAGGCATAGCGACGTGTCGTGGTAACGGGCCCACCCTGGACTTATTACACTGCGTCATTCCTCTGATCATTTCTGACGACCACAGCGCGCAGAATGTACACAGTCAAGACAAATTCGTTTTTCACAGAGTTCTCAAACAATGTCGCCGCGCGATTGTCAAGCGAAAGGGTCAGGGTCAACAGTGTAAAGTCTATCTCGTCGGCAAAACAACGTATTTGATAACAGACTTGCGTCGTGGGTGCAGTAAGAACTACACAGGTGAGCTAAACCAGTTTTCTTTTCTTCAAGTTTTGTACAAAGATGTCCTTTGAGGCTAGAAGATATATATTTTTCTTTAAGAAGATGTATATTTTTTCTCCAAGTTGTAGACGTTATGTATCCAGGAAGTTATCGTTAGTTGTGTAAGGCCTAAAATGTTAAATGTGTTTTCAGAAATTGTGACAAGTCATTTTGGACTGTCCAAAGTATATACATTGGTCCTTTTAGTTTTATTTGTGACCATTTATTCTTTCAACTCGCACTCTGTAATTATAAATTTCGAGAAACTTTTAGAAAGACATTACAAAATAATGCCTATAGATAAACTGTCAAAACCAGAAGGGCTATCAGAAATGCCAGCTGTTGATTTGTATGAGCTTGGAAAGCACACCCGTGTTTTATGACTTTCAAGCTCTTTACGAAAACATGTGTTTTGGTCATTCTAAGATTTTTCACCGCTATCTTCGCAAACAACAAAAGGCACCTGTTTCTGACAGAATAGTAAAAAAATAACTGTAACTCTTTGGTAGCCAATGGTGTTATGGGTTGTATTGAAGGTAAAATGCATTTACGGTTGTGATGTTGTTAACCTTCCAGTCATTGGGTGCCCGAAAACTGAAATATATAAAAGGTACTGAACCGGCAGACATTGTGTCACTGAACTGAGATTATTCTTGAGATATAGTCGTGCGTATATCGTGCACTGAACTTCTGCTGTTTTGTTACAGAAAAAGATTGACCCAGATCCTTGTCGACGTTTCGTTCTCTGTCACAGCCTGCTTGAAAATATTATTTTGCACATTTTGCTGCTAGGTAGGAATGTCTTGATTTTTCTTATATTATGTATTATAGTACTGTAATTTGTAACCAGTTACAATATGTCATCTTTATTTCAGGTCTTGTATTTATAGTAGATTTCTTTATTTCATGTTTGTCTCAGTGTTTGTATTTGTAAGTTATCTAATACCAGTCACCACTGCCTTGATAACCTGTGTATTGATCTATTGCCATTGCCAATAAAGAAAGAAAGAAAATCCTACATCAAAAATCCTACGACATCAAAACTTCTACGACATCAGAGATCCTTACTTACTTAGACTTAGTTCCTCCCGCGTGAAGCATATCAGGCAGCAAGTTTCCACTCTGTTCGATCAAAAATCCTACGACATTAAAAATCGTACGACGCGCTACGACAACTAGCTGTGCCTGCGTCGTTTAAAGGTTTCCCTTCTCTCTCTGTAGGTTGATGGTGGTTCACTACGTGTGGACCTCACGAGTCGTGTCACACGCATACCTGCGATCCAACACGCGGACAGACGGGGCCATGCAGGGACAAGTCAAACTACAACAGGTGAGTCTCTTTCTAAGATCTAAGATCTTTCTAAGATCTTGGTATGTTTTTTATTTGACTACCTTATCTAGGTGTCTATGTTTTGGAAATCTTCCTCACCACTGCCACATCACCAGCTACCTTAATTTTCTTTTCCACTAGCAATAATCTATAATGGGAGAAAGCCACAGAAAAATTTCCGGAAAACGACCACTAGTTTTAGTCCGATAAGAGTATATTGAGCACTGCAAGAAAGAAAGAAATGTCATCTTCAGACAATGTTTGTATGGTCTGTCACAAATTTAGATAAATATAAATGATATGTCAATTCCACGTCTAACGGAATGGCACCGTTTTCTCAAAGTGTCCAATTATAACTATAAGTACTGAAAGGGTTATACTATCGTCTTCAGACTCATTCTCAGCCATCGATCGAAGATAGCGGATGTTATCCGAAACGTCTGACTCCACAGAAAATTTATGAAATTACTTGAACTAGTTTCTATTACGACATATCGTGTGCCAGGCCGTTTGATAGTATATACAAGAAAGAAATTGGGAGGTCCTGAGTGTTATGTTTGTCAGAATACAATCCTTCCCACGCACACACTGGGAGAGTTCACCCGTGACCTGACTCCCGTCGATCAGGCATGGTAGGTAAACTTTAGACGGGACATATTAGAAGTGTTCAAAACAGTTTATCTAAGCCGTGACGGGACAAAGCATACCTGAGGGGACAGCTCCCTTCATACAACATATAGTGTTTGCAATGTCAATACTCGGGCAGTATTACGGACGATTTAAAAGCAATTAGGGTTTGGTTTCCTCAAATTAGAATATTTGCTGAGAGGAAGGCGGTGGGTTTATGTGAGTGGCGACACGGGTGTGTAAGGGAGGCGCGTGTTTAGCCCAGGGGGTCGCGACAAGTTTACGTTTTCCGCCGAACATGAGATATAAACAGCGGGCGGAGTTTGTTTGCCTGTTGACGATCTGCTCGCCTCACCACCCGATCCATGGCTACCACCCGGCTCCGGTTCCTGTCCAAACTTACGCGGGGATTCGCTTGCAGCCGGACAACAAAACAATCGGTGTCCGGTGTCTCTCAACAGCCGGGATTGCTTTCAAACCCAATCTGCATGATTTACACGGACTGGTAGGAGTAAAGAACCACAGTTTGGAACTGTTCCTGCTGCGACATACTAGTATAACTTCCCTGTAAACCGCGCTCGCTCAAACGCCGTACAAGGAAGATCTTGCTCATCTGCAGCTTCTACGTAGAACGTACTTCACAGTGTAAAACTCGCTACTGGAGATGTACTTAAAGAGGACAGTCAGAGGGAGGGTTGGAGGAGATCGGGTAGCGAAAGGGAACACCGTAGATAGCGGCCGCCTGAGGAAGACCTGGTTACCTGCTCCATGCAGCAGCTAATCCTCCGGGAGTACACCACAGTCAGGTGCAATAAGGTGTTCGACCTGTCCTCGGAATCTGGGGCGAAGAACAGACGGCGAGGTCTGGTGGGCAGGACCAGGAAAGAACAGGTTGGCTACGCTACAGTGCACAGTATACGTAGATCTAATACTGTGTATGTACTTTAGATAGGACCGTTGTACAATGTACTTCTTTTAGGTCAGCTAATACTGACGTTGGACACACTTTTAGTGACCTACATTGTCAACAACCTAGTACATTAGCTGTTTATGTTAGTCGTTCTTACTAAGTTTACCTCCATAGTATATTCCCAATTTAGAAAGGGACTGAGTTCTCTGAGAGTTGAAACCTATGGTTGAAGAGGAACTGGGGGACTAAGGAAATAGGACATTGACTGGTTGTGGTATTCTAAGATGGCGATAAGGTGTTTGACCTGTCCTCGGAATCTGGGTCCAAGAACAGGTTGGCACCGCTACAGTGTGCAATATACAGTAGATCTACTACTCTACTTTGTATATACTCTAGATGGAGCGGCCGTCTTAACTCTTTTAGTTGGAAGTTGGAAACACATTTAGTGACCTACATTGTCAACAACTTTCATGAGCTGTCGTGGGTCATCTTTGTTAGTAATTCTTTCCTAACCTTAACCTCCATAGTATATCCCCAATCTAGAAAGGGACCGATCTCTTTGAGAGTTGAAACATCTGGTTAAAGCTAAAGAGAAACTAAGGAAATAGGACATGGACTGATCGTAGTATTCAGATGGCGAGCTAGGATCATTTTCTCGGCACCTCACCTCGCAAAAGAAAAGGTATCGAACTAGACTCATGCTGTCGACTTCAGCTCTATTTTTGGCTGATTAGGGTGTATTTACGTCTCTCTAAGGGGCTTATGAAGATTCATAAAGGTTGACCCTATAAACATGTTGACACTCTATTACTGATGACACGTTTGGGAAATCATCAATTTGCTGCTGTCAAACCGGTCACCAAGACGACTTATTAAGTCTTCAGAGCTGTGAAGCTAAAGCTAAAGGTATAGACCTGGAGGGGATTTAGACCTGTAGGCCTGAAGGAGAACTGTTACCGACTACTGTTGGAAATGGCTGGGAGTTTCATCATGTGCAGAGAGGTGACTATTGTTAAGGTCCTGGTCACTTTCGTCGTAAGATTGTCTTACAATCACAAACTGAGGCCATTCGTGGGATTGTTGTGCAAGTGTCTTACAAAATCCATTTGTCTTGTTACGGAAAGGCTGTTTTAGGTTCTTGCTCTGTCGGTTGGCTCTCTGTCGTAGCCTGGCTGAAAAGTGTGCATCAAAATCGTACGAAATACGACGACCTATGACGAATTTGACCACGTCGTAAGCCACAAATGTGCCGTTATTTCAGTAGTAATCGTGCTTTACCAACATTGTGATTTGTAGGCGTACAGGCATGTGGCCCTAGTGCAGCAGGCAGGTGCTTAAGTCTAGCCCTATTTCTAGTTGGTTGTATTTGTGAGTGACGGAAGAAGTTGGAAGTGAAAAACATGTTGTTGACTGTTTATGATACCCCATGCGACGTGAACCACTTCCGGCCACAAGCCCTTGACACTATTGTTCCTCAGTGCTGGGGGTATACAGACTGGGAGACTCCATACTAAACTGGGGCTTTTTTGGGGGGTGGGGGTCTTCAGGGTCTTTGGGAGCTTTTATGTGCTATTTTCTAACTGCATATAGACAACATAGCCGACCTGGTTGAATTACCCCCGATTTATAGAACTGGGCTAATCAGAAAACAGCCGAAGACCACCAAACCCCCACTTCTATAAGCCTGCTACGGAGGCTAAGGTACAGTGTCCCTATGGAAATTTCTCTATATTAAGATGTATCTCTTTGCCTGTGAGTGTACTGTACGATTTATAACGGTTTTGACGATTACTTGGCTTCCATGAGTTGACGATCAATTTGTCACGTAGGCAAGTCCCAAAACCAACAATGTAAGCATGGCTCCGTTGCCTTGGGTTACAGTTCCCAAATGATATATTGCAAGTGTAGGATACGCACCCAGAGTCTAATGCCGATGCTATGCCGTACTATTTCAATTCATGTATGGCAGTATGCTGAGTCATATGCTACGGAATACTGTGACAGCGTCATACATATGCATAACATTTTATTGGGTGGCTTAGCTGTGGGTTTGTGTGTCTGTTTAGGTAGACAACACGTGTGTGGGGAACGATTGACAGGCAGAATGGTAATACATATAGCAAGATTTCAAAAATACACAGGATATGGAGTAGTGAACTTGAGGGTAGTTTGACACTTACAGTGATGGTTGGACTGTACCCGATTGATGCTATAGAGGAATGAGACACTTGAAGGTTGAAGGAAACAAGCTACTGTCAGAAAATTGTTCATCTACAACATACGTACCATAAATTACTAACAAACTAGCATAGATGTAGATTATATTCATTGTACATGTACAACCCAGTACTAAAATGCAATCGTTGCTCAAACCAGAAACCTGGCATTTGGCTAAGTGTGCGCTGTGGCTATACCGAGTAGACAAACACATTCCAACAAGATGTTCAACACCTCAGAGATTTTGCCAACACTCTAAGCGTGGCCAAGTAGACCAGAACCATTGGTAATCTTCAAGCAGATCCTAGGATGACATAAGACAGTATAAAATTGGCCAGGCAGCATCCATTGCCCAGACATGGTCCAATACGCCACCCAAGAATATTGGACCCTCTCTTGTCAATGGATACTGCCTGGCCAATTTGATACTGTCTTATAACACCCTAGGATCTGCTTGGAGATTAAACCATTGGTAATTACAGACCTACATGTACCGTCGCTGTCCCGTGTTCTAGGCTCTCCCGCGTGTCACAGAAGCCGGCGCCGCTGTCGGGGAATAAAGCCCGGCGTGTCCCCTGCGTGATTGTATAGTGTATCTTTACCCCCATCTTGTTTACCCTCTAACCCTATAAAGCCGATTGATGGACCCTATTGTTGTCTGGATACTGTCAGAAGAATGCTACAAAGTAACGGTGCCTCATCAACTGTCCGGGGTCTATAGACTGTAGTTTGTTGTTTTTATAGGCAGTGTATTCAGCAGTCTTTAAAGCTATCTCTGTAACAGTACTGCGTTACAGATATGATGGATTGAACCTTGGCAGACAGTAGGGGGTCTGAAAACGGTGAGCTTGTTTTAAGACATCTTGGTATCCTTAGCGACTTCGTCTTGTCTTCTTCGTACATTTAGACGATGTCTTGAAGATTTTGTACGTTCTTGTCCTTGCAGGGACGCCAGGTGTTGCAAGAAAAGATCTTTGCCAGAACGAAGAAGAAGACAACGCTAGCTGGAGCCAAGTCGACGTTACCGTCCATACCGGTACCGAGACACAGGTAGGTTTTTTGCACCTGTTTGAAAAGCGATGTAATGTTGCCCTCCTACTTCCAAGCACTCATGATGTTGCATTTTGAAGGCTAGAATCATCTATATTTGCTTGTGAACATCTAGCAGGTCAAATATAGACGTGTGTATTAAAATGAACACAAATCAGAGAAACTGGAAATGTAAAGCACTTGGCAACTAACCGACAATGTCCAACTTTCGTGAGATGTGTGTATTTGGTCACACGTATGTCATTGAAATTGTATTACGTCGAGTGGCTGTTATACCGGTCATATAATATAGATGCTTTCGGAACAAAAATTCAATTTCATAAGCTTCTCTAGTACTATTACAAGCACGATGTACTACAAAGAAATCGTCTATACATATAGAAACCCTATCGAACCAAACATAATCGTAACCACATAGCGTTTCCATCACTTGCAAAGCTCTCCACTCCTGGTGAAAGAAAAGCATGGAGGCAGCCAAACAATGAATTTATATGCAGCTATTGAAGTCATAGAGATCAAGTTCACACAAAGATATGCCAAGTTTGCCCATTGAGCTCTTGAACATGTCGAGTTCGTATGATCCTGTTAGTTGTTCTCTGGGTCAACCACAGGCAGACAACGTGTGTGGTGTGTGTGTGTGTGTGTGTGTGTGTGTGTGTGTGTGTGTGTGTGTGTGTGTGTGTGTGTGTGTGTGTGTGTGTGTGTGTGTGTGTGTGTGTGTGTGCGCGCGTGTGTGTGTGTGTGGTGTGTGTGCGTGTGTGTGTGTGTGTGTGTGGTGTGTATGTGTGTGCATGTGTGTGTGTCTTTGTGTATGTGTGTGTGCATGTGTGTAGAAAATTCTCTTACAACTGCATAAGGGATATAATACTGCCAGTATTCTGTTTTTGAGTGTAAATGTAGTTCGATTTTCGACGTCGTCCGAACCGTGCTTTATTCAGCACCATGCTCAGTTATGGATATCCAGAGCCTAGCCTGGTGCTAATTTGGGTTTTTGAATTAATTCGCGAAGGCTATCCAGAACCGTGCCTGATCCTAACCAATTCAACCATATAGAATTATATACTAGTAGATAGGCAAGGTTCTGAATACGATACGGCCTGGCATCCAGGCCATTCACTGCATAACTGCTGCCCTTGAACACTCAAGTACCATCAACATCCTGTATAAAACACTCCAGGCGGTGAAGAGCCCTTGTGGCGGCCCTGGCTTTGGCACTTTCTCTAAGAGCCTTCCAAACAGCAGTCAGAAGTACAGAATGGCTCACCGTCTCAACCCGGATTAACCATTGTGTTCCACACGGGCGCAGATACTCGCACAAAAGGCCCTCAACATCGCCTTTAGCAAAAAAGCTCGCGCCAAGGAGGTCTTCTGGACTGTCTGTCTGTTAGACGACGTCAGGTTATACTTCCAGCAGAACTGAGGCCCACGAGACCAGGCAAGAAGACACAAGGAAAAGTAACTGCAAAGCTGGTGTGTTACGCCGAAGGGCGGTTATATCCGCTATACTGATACAGATACAGACTGTACAAGAACATTAAGGACTCATACTGATTTGGTGTACCGATCCTTTAGGCATATAGCCGCAGATTGGTACCTGAGAACAGTTATTACTCCGTGAAGGAGGTCAGGACCTCCGGACGGAGTGTTGTAATCGGCTGATTTTTCATGTTCGCAGTCAAAACACTGGGTTCTCTTTGTGTAATCGGCACGCAATTTTATACGCCGTCTGCGGGCATGCCCGTGTTGATGCACGAATGTGTATTTTTGCCGTTGCTGCTTTCGCGGTCAATGTAATATCGCAGACGCACCCCTACAATTACGAGGCGAATTGGAATGGTCCAGAAAAACGCGTTGTTTGGAATAGCAGTGGGGTTCAAAAAAGTTCATGCAGATACGGGGTGGTTTTTATAAGTGGTTCCAGATGTTTTTGCCCATGGTTAAGAGATGCCAAGTTTTTTGGAAGATGTTCGCAGCCAAAACGCATTCTTCCGTACGTCGCATTTCTGTGTAATTTCGCATGTGGTGTTGCATTATGTCCGGGATGATGCACGTCTTTTTATTTTTACCGTAGCTGTTTTGATATTGGAGTAAATGCTTATTTTCGAAACATCCCCATTTCTTTGAAATGGTTTCGTCCGTTTATGCAACTGTTACTGCGCTAATGACGACCAGTCGCGCTGTCCTGATACACCGCGAATGTGCGAGTGTTCCCTGTAGACAGTCCCGGGAGTCATTTTTTTCGCACATTCCAGCAGCCAAACCAAAATACGTTCATGAACCGAGTCCAAAAAACCGAAACGTGAAAATCGGATGATCGGACCTGATGTACATTTCTCTTTCTATAGATTGTACACACAATACACACATCTTTAGATAATCTGGCCATGGCAGGTTAAAAAAAAAGTAACCCTGAATCATACTAGATTAGCGTAAATGCATGTTAATGCGTTCAAAACAAGAAAAAATTGTTTCCGGGTATTAATCTCTTGAATCACGGCGCTGAATATTGACGCAAAAATATTTCGGGCATCGCGCGCCCTTCCCGCGTCACGTGTAGGCATCTCGCATCTCTGATTGGTTGTTGCGTCTTAAGATGACTGAGCCGACGCGCGTTTAAACAATTTTTCTTTGTTCGATTTATCACACTTCACAGAGAATTGTCGCCAATGGCTACTTCTTTTTGTTGCAATATATAATACTTCACGGAGAATTGTCGCCTATGGCTTCTTGTTTATTGTATTATTATTATTTCCACAGAGCACCGGCAGCAGACGGGGACCCAAACAGCGGTTCGCTGGGGAGGGAGGGGCCGTTCCTTCCACACCTGCCCAGACCGAACAGACCTGCCAGACAGAGCCCCAACGAGTTTGAACTACACAGGTAGGGGTGAGATTAGCTTGACCGTGAACTCGCAGTTTTAAGAATATATATAAGAGAAGTAAAGCCTCCTGATTGTCAAGTTCAATGTTATGTTTTATGATAAGAACTATTCGGTTGTCTAGAGCAACTTGTCTCGAAAGGTTTGATCTAATCACACCAGGAAGGACCCCTACGTCTTTCGATAAGTGTGGTGGGTTCTTTCATGTACTCTAGTTGTGTCTCTCCTTAAACATGGGATCCCAGCGTTACATCCTACCCGAGATTAAGACCCTAACAGAATCCAGGCACTCACCTGATTCGAGAGAGGAATTTTCCCAAGGATAGTCACACAATAGTGAGGTCTGCTAGAGATCTAAGCCAAGAACCCTGGCCACAAATCCACTACCTTGTTCTCCCCCGCAGTATTGTAGAGATCCTTAACCTGAAGAAAAAGGAGCTGCACTCCCTTCCCGAGCAGCCGCCGGTACCAGACATGGTGATGACCAGGGATTTGAACCCAGAACCTTTAGATCCTAAGCCACTATAGGTCTAACCACAAAACTACCACCTTGTTCTTCTCTACAGTATTGTTGAGATTCTGAACCTGAAGAAGAAGGAACTCCACTCCCTGCCCGAGCAGCCGCCGGTACCAGACATGGTGATGACCCGGAGACTTGAGCCCAAAACCTCCTCAACCACTACAGGTCTAACCACAAAACTACCACCCTGTTCTTTTCCCCACAGTATTGTAGAGATCCTGAACCTTAAAAAGAAGGAGCTGCACAGCCTTCCCGAGCAGCCGGTACCAGACATGGTTATGACCCGGAGACACCGCAGCCCGCCCGGCAAGAACATGCGGATACCCAAGGACCTGCCCATGACTATCAAGTAAGTAGCGTAATGTAATTATCATGTACAACAAAAATGTAGTTAGTGTGCAAGTGTCACGGAAATGAAAAGAAACCTACAGTGGCCTGACTGTCCCTGGAAGACATGCCCCTAACTGCATTGAGAAAAATACATATCGTAATCATCAAGTAGTTGGGCGCTACCGTGGATGTCACCGGAAGACATAAGAAAACGTTCAGACTATGCATGAGGTACAAAATTACTAATCTCCAAGCAGATCCCTCTCGGTGGCAAAAAGACAGCCTGATTTGATACGGTATCAAATTGGCCAGGCAGTATCCATTGGCCAGAGAAGCTCCGCGGCCACCGACGTGGGGTCAGGATTCCCCCACAGCCTCTGCTTGGAGAGTACAAAATTACTGATAAACTGGTGGACGTACCAACTCCTAAGTACCTAATACCAATCCAGAAGAGAAAGGAAATAGCCATGCCTTCAAGTACCAGAGTTATCAACCAAGGATTGAGGCGTTCAAAACTCGTTTATTCCTAGACTATCGTAACTATCGTAGAGTGGAACTCGCTGTCCCCAAGTACAGTGTGGGCATTATCACTACAATACATTGAGATGTACAAAGGTTAGGTGAGGGTTAGGTGTGACAGGATGTTGAGTGTAATATAACCATCTGTCGTCGCACCAAGTGCCTTAATTCGAGGCTGTCATTCCAATCTGAAGAAAAAATCAAACAGAGATGTTAAATTAAACAACCCACATCGGAAAACGTTCCATTAATAACAGGATTATCCCTTTAATATTTAATGTTGTTTGCTATGGCCAAGCTTTGTGTATCGCATGGTTCCCACGACCAATGGGGTCTACACGTTCAATTTGACCATTTGCGTCGGTGAAGGTTAGACATCCAGGTAATAAGAGACGTTTCAGGTAGCTTTCGTCAGTGACAATAAGAGACCAGAGGAGAAATGCCGGTTTATAAGCACGAAATGTTCATTGATATGCAAAAAAGGGAAGAAAATTGTCCAGTTGCTTGACTAGTAACTGCTTTTTGGCGCAACTAGACCATTTGCTTGTTTTCGCTTGTACAAGCGGTAGCCACAGACCGAACATACAGTAAACATAAGGTGACAGGCAGGGCGACAAAAAAGGTCAAAGATCACCCGCCAAGTTTGCTCTGCTTTTAGTGCAGTCCAACATGCGCTCAGTAGAGCATGTGTGTCATTGAATGGTCAATTGGCCACTGTTTGCAGAACGCAAAATCAGAACTGTAGTAACTATGGCGTCGCTATGTGCACGCCGCCATTTTGCTTTGTTGAATCCCCAATTAAAATTCCGTTAAAAAGCAATTAGCGAAAAATCATTATGTCGTATTCTATCGGTTAAATGGTGAATGTAGTGGGGGGTTCGGCAGAGTGTAAATATTGCTGTGTGTGTGTGTATAAGGCAACAGCAAGTAAATTTTATGAATGACATCCTCCGCAAATTTCAAATCTAATGCGAGCGGGCGAAAAAAAACAAGGCGGGCCGAAAGAAACAAGGTTCCTACATTTTAAAATTTTGACTCAATCATTGCACAAATACTTTTGATTCAGTGGGAACATCACATATACACAGCCAGCATCACATATCACTGCATCAAAGTAAAAAACAAAAAGTTAATTCAGAGCCTTTTTTGTCTCCTGTCTTCATAGTTATCTGGCACCCAACTTCCGGCATGGCAACTGACATATTTGCCCATTTTCGGCATGTTAACCGCTGTCAGAAGGCAACAAAATTTCTTTTTTTTTTCCCAAAATCAGGCGAAAATTAATGCGCGCGCTGATGCCATCCATAAAAATTACTTGGCCTAATTATCCTAAAGTCATCCGTCATACTGACAGGAGTGACATGTGCTGTTGTTCCGTACACTATGGGCGGCGCGCTCGGCTATTTGCCGCGTCTTTTCAGTACTTAATTGGCTTCCGTGGTTATTATTGGCCTAACACAATAACGGGACAAAAAAACTGCACGAGGCAACTGATACCAGAGCTGTTTTTCTGGCCGTTTTACAGAGCTGTAACACGCCAAACATTACTGAAATTCGTAGTTCAGAGCTTGACTTCGATGTAAAGGCTATGCCTTCTATAGTTAATACATGTTGTATACTGGACTACAACAAAGGACAAATGTTAGTGCCGACAGTTAAAACGTATTTGTGATGTTCATTATTAGGAGTTATCGAGATGGTGAGGGTGACGGAGGGACCGTACTCAGACCTCCCAGGTGAGCATTGCCTTTAATTTGCCTGCTAGCTACAACTTACGTTTACCGCTAGATATACCAGTAACTTAGGGAAGCATGTAATTTTATGTCGGTTTCAGACTTGCCTAACGTTTATACTTGGTTACATTCGTTAGTATTAAAAAGTTGTCGTACAGTTTTTCAATTCGTTTAATTTTCAAGCAGCAGGTTGTAATAGAACTAACTACTGACAAGAATCTAAGACATAATCTCCAAGCAGGTCCTAGGGTGGCAAAAGACAGTATCAAATTGGCTAGGCAGTATGCAGCCGCCAGAGAGGGATTGATGGCGTATTGGACCCTCTCTGGCGAATGGATAATGCCTGGCTCATTTGATACTTTGTTTATAATCTGCTTGGAGATTACTAAGACAGTCTTTTTAGTAAAAAGGCGGATAAATTTGTACGTTAAGGAGAATGTCTTCAGCTTGTGACTAAGCCCTTTGATAGAGATTTCCGTTGAAAAAAAAACACAGCAACAAATGTTCGGAATTCTAAAACAACAAGAGTTCCGAGATCTCATACCTCCATGAAATATGGGCTTGATATGTACATGTAAATTTCTTCTTTAATTATGTAAATGACCTCTGCATTAACATAATATATGCATTGTTATGTTAACTTTTGATAAACTTACAGATGTCCCGAGTATGACATTCCCATCATTTACCATTAGGAAATCATAGAATTTTCGCATTTATTATGCAAATTAGTTCATCATTTGCATAATTAGTATCTGTTGATGTTCCGCCTGCCATAGTTACATACATTACATGTATGAAAGTAGTATAATGTAAAACACTGTAATTATAGAATTTCCTCAATAATTATGCAAATAAAGTCCTCATTTGCATAATTTGCATGTAATTATGTACATCTCTCTCTCAGCTACCTACGCACCAAAAATTATGAAAATATGTTGTTCCTATCTGGACTTATTGGCTTTTGAACATTTCGCCAGAAAGTGCCCTGCAGTTCCAGAACAAACTGCTAGGGGGACCAAACTCACACCAGTTATTCCTGACAGAGAAAGCTATCTGTCACCAAAAAGTCAAGACCATAGCATGTTCAGGACAAAAGATTCAAAAACCGGAAGTTCTGCTGCAGTACCAAGGTCATCCAACAGGAGCCCATATTTGACCTTGACCTTTGTCTTCCTAAGACTTACCAACATACCAAATATCATCATAATCCATAAAGGCGTTATGAAGTTATGCTGACTACAAATGTGCGGAAACACATACACACACACACACACACACACACACACACACACACAGACAGACACGCCAAAAACAATACCTCCATTTTTCATGGAGGTAAAAATGCTTCTCCATGTCCCAACAGACAAATCGTGGTGGTGGTCCCGTCTGTGGCGCTGGAGTCTCCGCGGAAGGCGGTGAAACAACAACAGCTGGTCATGGTGGACGGGAAGAGCAGCGAGACACCGCAGGCTCCGGTATGTTGTAGTAGCAGTAGAAGTAGTAGAAGTAGTAGTAGTAGTAGTAGTAGTAGTAGTTGCAGTAGTAGTAGTAGCAGTAGTAGTAGTAGTAGTAGTAGTAGTTAGTGTGTTTGTGTGTATGGGAGCATGTCTGTGCATTTGTGTCATTTTTGAACGAATCATAACATTTTCGCATTCAATTTCCCCCCTCCAGCCGCCCCAGGGGGAGAGTTTCGGCCGGCTGACGGGGAAGTACCTGACCCGCCGGCCGTCCCAGGAGCACCGCGCGGGCCACTTCAACAACTTCCGGCAGTACCTGAAGCGCAGCAAGTCCCGCAAGGTGGCGCACCTCGCCCCCGCGCCAACCGCCTCCGTACAGGACAAGAAGATCCTAAACGTCAGCGGAAGAAACAACATCCCGACATTACCTGTTATCCCATCTATAAGGTAAATATTTATGTTTACTGAAGGAAAACATATTGTTTTTGCTACGTTTCTTCTTCTTCTTCTTCTTCCGTCTCAAACACTGACCTCTGACCTGGCCAATGACATGATTTGTTGACGTCTCTAACCATGGTAACTGGAGTTGGGTTACATAATGTTGCAATTTTATAGTAAGAATTAACAGAGCAGACCATATGCGAAGGTAAACATTATGCATTTGCTTTGCAAATGTTACCTTTCTAGTTTAAGAATAACTTATTGTATTCTATTGCAATCTAATGATGCTGAAATTTAGACTGCTGTATATTGCAACACAATTCAGGAGTTACTCCTGCCATGTTGTTCTATCAAATAAAGTTTCAAAGTTGTTTTTTGGCGACGTCTCAGAGAGGAGCCTAATGGTACAGTATTGTGTGCAGTTTGCAAGAATTCTAGGAATAGTACAGGCATTTTATCCACAGGCATGGAATGTCCACAGGCATGTCTCTGACCCACATCTATGCCCACATTCCTGGAAACCCTTGGGAAGACCTCTCTGCCCTGGATGGTCCTACTTTCTGTGACCCCGCCCGTGGCTTGCTCACGATACACTCAGGGGAGGAGTGTACTGTATCTGTCTAGACGTAACAGGTACCAAGTCTTCCTGAATACCATGAAATGATGACAGTGCCATGCAAACAATAACCCTAACAGCAACCACGGTCGCCATGGCAATGTATGTTTTCATTGCCAGTCTTGTTTTGTTCTTTTTACAGGTGAATTTGGCCGGCCCTAGAACTTGTAAGGGCCAGCCAAACTCCCCCCGTGCTAGTCTCCCCGTAGCGGTGATTTAGACCCACGGGCGAAGGGCTCTTGCCTGCCATGTTGTTCTATCAAATAAAGCTTCAAAGTTTGTTTGTTGTTGATTTTTTACAGGTCCGAGGACGAGATCAAGACGGTTATGAGTGAAAACGGCGTCGTGCTGAACGGAGATTTTCCCGCCAACCTGTCGGGCGTGTCGTCCGAGGACACGTCGAGTTCCATACGGTCCGAGCTGGGAAAAGTGTTCTCCAATTCGTCCAGTTCCAAGTCCAGTTCTGACAACAACAACAGTAACAGTAACGCCATTCGTGTGAAAAGACTGTCCAATCCGCAACAGAAGACGAGAAGGGCCAGGGACAGGCACGGGCGGGACTCCGGGAACGAGAGTAGCGACAGTTTGGACGGTTTGAAAGATACGTCATTACCCGAGGAGGGTTCTCGTTCCCGGTGGTCGCCGGGACAGAAACGCTACGTGGTGGACAAATCGCACATCCACCAACAGATGGCGTCCAAAAACGGCTACTCCGTGGCAAAGAGATACTTCGACAAACAAGACCGAGAGAAATACAGGTCCAGCTTGCCGTCGGTCCTACAGTCGGACCAGGATTACTTAACGAGAACGATTAACGGGAACCCCAATAAGGGAAAGAGCGGGAACCACATCGTGTACGTGGAGAGAACGCACGGCATGCGGAGACGGAGAGGTAATACTGGTTTATTATTATTATCGTATTATTATTCCAACATTTTCATGACTAGACATGGTGACGGCACACTCAAGTTATATCAAGTTATTTTATACCGTCACCAACGAAGAGGACAAATACGGAACAAGACATTACTTATTTTCACTTGAGTTAAATGAGGAAAGTCGTGTCAAGTGCCTTTCCCAAGGGCACGGTGCCTTTCCCAAGATCGGTGGCATGTTAGGACTCGAACCCGGGAACTCTGGGTTCAGAGTCGAGCACTCTGCCGCTACGCCACACGACCTAATAAGACGTATCTTTTTCTACTCGCTCCTCCTAATTCTTACATGTCTATCACTACACAGGTAGCGAGGAAAGCGCCACGGAGGCGCACCTGAGATACCGGGACCCGCAGCGGCTACTAGGCCAGGTGCCGGGCCACCGCAACCCCCCGCCTAGCCCGGCTAGCGCGGAGTACAAGGCGAACCTAAAACGACAAGCGGGCGACTACAACCGCCCTGACAGCGGGATCGCCACGCGTAACTCGGACAGCACCGGGCACTCCCGCAACACAGACACTAGCGGCGTGCACCATCATGCGGACATCACACGGAAACAACAACAGGTGATGATGATGAAAACGCCGGCGATCTGGGACGAGACGTTCACCATGAGGGTGACCGAGGATGAGACGCCCTCTAGCGACTCCGACGCGGAGTCTATGCCCAAGCCCATCACCATGATCAGCATCAACCAGTCCGAGATCGTACAACCTCCTCCCAACCTCCACACGACAACCACCAACTCCGAGACGACGGAGCTGTACAGAGGAGGGTACGGGAGGGTTGCCCAGGACATTGACAATAGAAGCCTGCTCTCCGTACCTGATTCGGAATCGCTTCGCGCCAACACGCCCATGCCGAAAGCGCTAAACGACGCAGACGATGCCGAATCGACGTCTACGATTTCGGTGCCGAAGATCACCATGACGTGTGCCACCCCCCTCCCCCCTCGGGCCACTCCGTCAATCACACCTCCCCCCTCCGACGGACTCAGACTCTTCGTCAGCGACATTGAGAGAGTCGGAGGGGTCATCAACAGATGATGCGTAATGTTAAAAACAAACAAACAAACAAACAAACAAACATTCACAAAGTCAATGTCATTATGTTTTCGGTTTCTATCATGAAAGTTCATCTATGTTTGTAGTTACATGTTTAGAGTTAAGACTTTTGATCCAAGACAAAGAAAGTTCTCTCACCAACAGCTTTCGACCAGTCACTCTGGTCTTCCTCAGTAGACTGACCAAGTGAGGCTTGTCACGTGGCTTCTTTGAAGTGTGACGTCAACACTGTGTCAAAGGTATCTGGTAGACGATGTCGGCCCCCGTCGCGGTTCAGTGGGTCAGTCTACTGAGGAAGACCAGAGTGACTGGTTGAAAGCTCTAGGTGAGAGAATTGTTTGTGTTGGATCTAAAGTTAAGTCTAAACATGTTTTCGGTTTGTTTCCTTCCATCAGTTCATGAATCTCAATGTTTGAACTTCTGAAGTTTAGATTGTCGTTACCGTTACATGTTCCTGGCCGAAACTTCGACTTGACGGACCAAGATATATGGGGAGGGACGAAAACGGATAAAACGTTCAAAATTTTGCCAAAAAAAAAGACTAGCATTTGATGCAAGCATGTCTAAACCCCGTTTCGGGGAAAATGGCGTTAAAATTGGATTTAAAAAAATGGGTGGAAGGAAAAATTGTAATAGCAGCTCAAAAGAGTTGCCAGAAAAGAAAACTTGCATGGAAGAAAAGAGAGCCGGGACGGGGGTTGATACAGACTTCCAACCACCTGTTGTTCAATTTACTCTTTCGTAACGTCTCTTGACCTGAACAATCCATTCCGGTTGAAAATGTACAAAGTGTTGAGTTGAATGAAAAAAAAATAGCCATTTCCCTTTCATGTTCTTGGTCCGTCAACAGTGAATTTTGAGCGCCTGTGTCTAACTAATGTACTGTTGTATGATATTGTTCCAGTTTGGAAGTACTCGAGTCTCCACCAGATTTTTTCTTTTGCAGGTTGAGTAATCGTAGAAATCGGATTAAAAGGGGTATTAATTGGCGAGAGGAGGTAGCCAGCTATTGACGATTCTTGCAGGCCAATTTGATCGTCAATGGCCGACTACCTTCTCTCGCCAATTAATACCCTTTTTAGGCCGATTTCTACGATTTATTCAGCCCGCAAAAGAAGTCTGATGGAGACCAGACTACTCGAGGTTAAGTTTGGGCAGTTCTAAACAGAAAACACATAGGATATTTGATGTTACATAGGCAAAGTCATTTTATGTCTCCTGCTGCTTCCATTGTGTATTGATTAAAACGTTTTTCACTTGTATGTCTCAAAAGTTGTGTCATATGAATTTTTGTGTTGTTTTATATGGGGTGAGGGCATAATATTGGAATCTAATGTACTTATGGTAAAGGCCAACCATATCCCTTCCTTTTCTTACCTAATAGGTCATGGTGGGTAACAAAATCTTCTTAGAAAACAAACTACCCTGCAGTCTAGAAGAAGCTGCTAGGGGGCCCAGACTCATATCACGTCTTCCCTAGCCCAAGAGCTATGGTAATGCATGTTATTGTAAGCTTAAGTGTATGAAATAAGAATAATCATACTTAATTTCTTTCTTTTCTTTATTTCTTTATTTGAATTTACCACAAGCAAAAACAAGTGGAAGGGAGGACAAAACAGGTGTATCAACGCCTTTACAAGTTGTCCTCCTGAAATGATAATACAAAACAATACGAAACCAAGTCAAACAATAAACATTAGACATCAAAAATCAGTAGACATGTCCTTTAATTTCCTTCAGTTTTCTTATACAGCTCGGGATTGGCCTATTTAGCTGGTGGGTGTGTAATGTGTCACGTGATTTTAGATTAGTCTCATACTATTATTGCAAATTATATATAAAGACACACACAGACATACGAACAAACTGGCTCCAAATTAATCCAAAAATAAATTACTAAATACCTAACATAATAATCACATCTTGTCCAAAAATAATAAATGCTTAATACTGAACTTTATACAAAGATGAGTTTTTTTACTGTTGACGATTACTATGTAAATTTATAATGTTGTTATGGCTTCTCTCATGTTTCGCTGCCTTCTCCTCCCCCTCCTGCCCTTTCTTTAAAGGGATTCAACTCTCTCATTTTTCAGCCAAATTTCACCTGAAATTTGGCATGGCGGTAGAATTGGCAAATACCCCAGACGTTTTTTTTAAATTTATTTGAAGCAGGCCTTTAAATTTTTTTTCTTTTCTTTTTTTGTTGTTGGCCATTTTCAGGCAAAAGATATACATTTTTGGATCTGGAGCCCTGGTGCTGAAACCAAATGACCTGAAATTAATAAATAACAATGAGATTTCTCAGAAAAGGTAAACATAAAAAAGCATGTTTAAGTATTACATCGTGTCGAAGTGATCAAATTTCATATAATTTGTCTCGACTTTTCAATGACATTTGCCGCCTTTTCTGTTGGTTTCAGTAGTCAGAGGTACGGATTAGTTTGGGTACTGAGTCGGGCGTAAACAAAAAAAAAACGTCTAGTCTTGTACAGGACGCGTTTTGTCTGGTGTAGGGCGTATTTTGTCTGGTGTAGGGCGTATTTTGCCTTGAGTTGGACGCTTTCTGTCTTACTTAGGTCGCGTTTTGTCTGGTGTAGGACACGTTTTGCTGTTCAGAACCCTGCAGACTAACATCATGTCGAGCTCGGCCGGCAGGCAGCAGCAGCCCCAGACTGGGACTACAGGAGGTACGGTGGTTTAAATTTCACACTTTTGTTGCAGTTTCTATCCTCACTATCATAAATCTATCGGTGATTTTGCTTTAGGTGGCACAATTGCAAGTGGAACAGGATAAACGGTCTTTTTGTCGGTACACAAGGCGCACAATTGCCATCAACATCGGTATTTAAATGTTGACCTTTTTCCGAAGTAGCCTGGCGTGTAGCAATCGTGGGAATTTATTGTCTTTTTTGTCGCTCTATTTTGATTGTTTATTCATATTTGGGTCAATTCAACGAAGATCTCAAATTATAAACACTGTGACACGACTTTTTTTTTTAAATTCCGAGATGAAAAAAATATGGAGATTTATTTCGAGATGTAAAAAATATATTTCGAGATTTTCAAATTTTCAATGAGCTAGGCATGAAAGATCTCACAGGGG